TATATCATATATATTTATACATATTAATATACATATTTATTATATCTACATATATCCATTTTTTCCTTATGGGGATTTACGCAACTTATAAAATGCTTCATTTGCTTGACAAGAAGGACTTGTCGAAGGTCATTGTGCTTGAGTTGTAAATTTAAATATTGTTGTCCATATTTGTAGTGTCATATCATATAAATGTAATATTGTTATAATAAAAATCATTTGCGGATAAATTTTACCATCATTCATAAAAATGTTTATGTGAAATATTTATACACTTGTGGGTCCCAACAGGGTTGTTAGGAATTCAAACTACAGCTATTATACATTGTTATTCGTGATTTCAATGGTTTTGGGGTTTTTGGGACACCCTGTATATAAATGACCTTCGAGTTTTACTTTAAAATAAATTGAAACGTCGTAACGTCAGTACAAACAGACAGACTTGTAGCACTGTTTGCCGACCTCTATATGAGAACAGCTGTTTAGAAACTTCTTGGTAACCGAATCTTTTACCTTGGGTATTTCTGCAGTCCGGTCAAATTTAAAAATAGATTGCTCAAAATTTTGGCCGTGTTCTCTCAACGAACTTATATAAAATCGCTCACATTCATACGAACATTTCGATTTGGATTGTTGATGAATTGACGTATAATATACCAAGAAATTTTGTTAAAGATATTGTCTTTCGTACTTGAAATAAATTTTCCTTATACGTTTTTTCTGCAGTCATTTTAAAAAATATTATCAGTCTCTTAATGGCAGTTCAACCATATACGCGAACATAGTCAGTTGGCGGAACGTAGAAACACCTTCGATCATCAAAACGTTGCGAAACGGCTTGGCATTATCAAAGACAACGGCAATTTTAGATGTTATACTTTTGCTATATGTATTTCATATAGTAAAAGATATTAAAGCATTATTGTTGAAAGTTAAATGCAAATTAGTATATATTCAAATCACAAATTCCTGGTAATGAAAAGTAATAAGAGAAATTTTCAGGCCATGCATGATATATCTCAGAACTCCTATAGCAAAATGTATGTGAAGTATATGAACGCATCGTTCCGTATAATAACCATGTGAATAAGCCGACACAATATAGTATTTTTTAGGATTTGATATAATATATATATATATATATATATATATATATATAAATGCATTTGCTGTCTTATTTTTAAATTTAGAAAGATTATAAGAATGCACGCATTTTACGTGTTGCATGGAAAACGCGCATAACTATATAAACAACTATAACTATATATATACATGCAAACAGCTCTTTTCTCAATTAAATTTCAGCGGGTGGCCTGAGCAAATAGGCCTAATTGGGGACATGCGAGCATGCATATATATATAAGTTAACCAATTAAAAATGTACCATATATATGGTCATCTGTTTTTAATATAGATAACTCAATTCCACGGATATGCTATACATTTTCATGCATATACAGGGCCCTAAAATGTGAATGTGTATAAAAACGATACAAACCCACGCAACCGTGAACTCCATTTGGCACGAGAAATATTAACATGACGTCTTGACCTCCCATCTGACTTAAAGAAACCTGTGGGCATGAACAGTCACCGCATTGGTTGTCGTGATTAAATAAGTGTAAGTGTTATTTACGATAGCCTTTAACGATAGCCTTTTTAGACTCTATTCTTTTGCTGTTTTTAATTAAAGTTGCATCTTGATAAGCGCTTCATTTCCTCTGAATTTTGCCCACTTGAGAGGAGTATGAAAATAATTAATTTTCCGTAGACAGGCAAGTTGAAAACAACAAGATTAACATCATGTAGCATAAGTAAAGTCTGCTGTGAGATTGGTGGAATATTCAATTAGTCCTGTGTACGCTGAATGCCCTGTTTTAGTTCTATTTAATCTTTATTGATCTATATTGTGATTCTTGCATACAAAGGAATCGTTACAATCATATCAGTTGTAGAGAACCGGCCCATCAACTATCGGATTTTACGAAACGGTACATTAAAAGAAAATTCTTTGTTCACAGTTCGACCTTATCTATAGTGACATACACTAGATCAATCTATAGAAAAACCCTTTCAAATAGATCTAAAATAAAGCGATCTTGCTCGAGGCATTCCGATAAAGCAATATCTTACTTATTTCACATGTGGAACAATGCATACTGCACGCATGAATTGATTTCCAGTTTTCAATTTTATTTAGAGTTATTGTGTGGTAAACAACCTGAGAAATGAACTCCTTTTGCCTTCACAGCATTTAGCGCAGATGCTAACGAGGGTTTTTTTTATATATTTTTTGATCAGGTAATTTAATTATGCTAAAGACAAAAGGAACCGCCATGCAGCTATATATATGCTCAAATGCGGCGGCAGAACATTATATTTACAAGCAGAATTGTCGTTGAACTGATTTTACACTTGCATCAGATTTTGTATACTTTTATCTAAATTTACCTTTATTGTACAGAGCGCATCGGAAAAAAACCCCACGAAAATGGAGATATATTAATCTGTTATGTATTTGTTCAGAATATTATACGGTAGAAAGAATAAGATATATGAACGGCAATTAAGATTTCAATTTTAGATTCTTTGCATGGCAACACGAATTAGAATTTATAGTAAAACCAGGGGTGGATCCAGCACTAGTGCACTAATTTGCATTACAAAACAAAATTGCTATTCTCAGCAGTTTTCTTGTGTCATGCAAATTAGTGCACTAGTGCTGGATCCACCCCTGAGTAAAACGTTTTTGTACAAAAAATACTTGCATCATGCATTGACCTGTGGCTTGGGAGAGTCATATAGGTACACAATTTTAAGGCACTGACAAAAGGTGAATTTATTTCCAATTCTACTGTTCCTTTTTCAAATCAACAATACAACATACTTATGCTCTATAATTTTGTTTTACCGTTGCTATTATAAGAATATAAATTTGATTGCCACCCCGTAGTAAATAGATACTAGACTCAGCATGTTTACTGCTCGTATATAAATTATAAGCCTGTTAGTGCTTCACCGTGGCACCGTGCCCGTGGACAGGTGTGTATATCGGTGCCATGTTACATAATGTTTACACCTTTTTCGCATAGTATTTTGCGTGGGTACAACCGCTATAATACTGGTGACATTCAGTAAGGGAAGTGAAGATTTGAAATACTTGAGTTGTCGTTCTTAGGGTGTGGCTCAGTTAGAATGCATGATGGTAAAACATGCGGAAATTATGTAAGATTTTGCATGTGTTGATCTCGTAGTGGGCGGTTTTGCTGAACAATGAGGGTATGTTAATTTTTAGTGTTTGGGACTTAATGGTCATATTCTATCAAATATACAAAGAAAATATGATTCAAGTGAGATGGCGATCTTTTTATACCATAGAAGACTTTGATTCTTTTAGTTGCTTCATTCCTTTTCTCGATTTTTGCAACAATGATGGATCGAACAAACCCCTGTCACGTAAGTGTTCGCAAATTGTTCTGATTGGCCCTTAATTCTTAAGCATTTTTACATCAGAACAGTCATGTGATCATGATTCGATCATTGTTAAAAACTAAGGCTAATTCGAGCAGCAAAAAACCTCAAAATTAAAACTTTAACCCTGGGTATATAGTAGGTTATTAATGTATAGAATATATTCACGCGCTTCAATTCAAACGAGCCAGTATTCATAAAGAAGAATTAATATCTATGCAGACCTTTTTCCAAATTCTGGAAAAGAAGCCTGACCCACGCTTGCCAGCCTGCCTTTCAATTGTGGGCACAGACATATCATCGCCCTTTACCAGCAGACAATTTGATGATATGTCGAACGAATCAAACCAGAAAAAATATCTTGCAATTTGCAAACTCAAGATTCGGATTAAACACACATGGTGCAAAATTCCGTTTATATTTCGAGTTTATTTTAAATTCATTGTCAAATCAAAGACACATAATCATATTTTCCTGTTTTAGCGGTCGCATTTTGTGCCAGACATACAATGCAACTATTTCAATTTCAATCTGGTCTCTCTACGACTACGGCACTGAATACCTCAAGATGCCTGTAGAATCGTGTGCCAAACGCAAGAAATAAAATTAACATATAATATTCTTGCAAATGGCAATTAAAGTACTCTGATAAACGTAATAAGCATGATGCATATATGTACATTTCGTACTAACCATACTAACTACATACTACATGTCACTTCAGCTAAATCGTATTGATCCATGCAGAAAGATATCGATCATATTCGCTTATTGTTGGGTTGCCAAAATCCATTATTTTGGTGATTGTAAATAAAATTTTTGATCAGAATGTTTATACACATATGCTTTTAGCCTTCATGATGAACATTCGGCGTTTGTACATTTCAGAAATATTCTCTACGAAAAAAGGCGTGCCCCTAAGCCATCGCTAATGTACTGTCAGTGTAATTCAACATAAACAGCCTTTATTAATATGAAAAGGTTTTGCCAGCTTTGACTACCCAGACATGCTTATTGCTCGTAATATAATCATTATCCGTGGACGTACTTTTAAATTCGACAAGATACGAAGCAACAAAAACGTGGCGTGATTGTATTTGGAATTCAAAACTTTTCCATTCCACCTATATCATTTTCACGGCTGTAAGCCCTGATTTTTGATGTTTTAAAAAGGGAAAAAATCATTGATTAAATCTAACGCTTCACCTTTACACAAAAAAGCTTAATTTATCGATTAAAACATAACTTTTCCTTGACTTATCACTTTTGGAATAAATGTTCCAGTGAAATTTTGTCGAACAAAACACGACGGGGTTTCCTAAATTAATTATCGTGCATGGAGTATAACTCTTTGTAGCAATCGAAATGAATGCGCTCTCCCACACGTTGGCAACTTTAAGAGAGCGCAATTAGTTTGATAGGTGAGTTGAAGGAATAGAGCTTCGGGTGAAACGAAAAGGTGAGAGGTACATTCGCTGATAGTGGCAATGAATGATATCGAAATACCAAAAATATTTCATGAAGGGTACCTTGTAAATCTGGCTCACGAACTAGGCGTTTTATTAACTCCACATTCTACCTCCAATCGCACCAGGATATGTAGCAGATTCTTCGTCCGTTTTCCAACGTTTTTGCAAACAGTTTGCTTTGATGCTAGCCCAGACAATGCGAACAGTAATCTCGGTTTGTTTATCCTAGAACAAATGAGCTGTCTAAATGACTGACATACATAAACGATACTGAGTGAGTTCACATGGCCACTTATAAACACATCATGAGCTGTTCTGATTAAATAGTTTGTTTGCTAAGGTCAGTGATAACACTTGACATTAATTTTGTTTTCAGCAAAACATCGAAAAATGTTTGTGGTCGAATTTGCTTCATTAGTACATAATTAGACAAGACAAAGTATACTGATTAAAAATTCCTAATTCAGTATGGAATTCGGGCAGAACAGAGTATTTTCTACACCTGTTTGTGGCGCACTGCATATATTCCCTTGTAACCCCCTTCTAGTTTCTTCTGCAGTATCACCGAAGCAATAAGAAAAGCATGATTATTGTGATGACCTCCAGAAATAAATGGAACATTTAAAGTTGGTAATTTAAACTGTTACGATGTAACTGCGGGGTGCTTGAGCGAAAAATTTCCAAGCACGCTTGCAGGGAGTGTGGAGGTGTGTGCATTTTTGGGGCCCTCTGTTTAACTATTTTCGTGACTTGTGTAACTTGTGGGTTATATAGTAAGAACAGAACAATCAACAAATTGCTGATGACAACCTCGTGGTTCATTGCAATTAAAACTAAACACTGTATATTCACATGCATATTTTAATCAATTGATGACAATTATTAGAGCTTAATGGGAGGGGTGGGAGTGGGTACACTTATTTCATCGATGTCCACAGGAAATGATTTTTGTACTGCTGTAACTGCAACTGATGAATAATTTTCCAGCTGTTCCTGTTCGTTAGAATTGTAAATTTATATGAGAGCCTAGCCTTAGTTTATAGCTTTCCACTTTCGCGGTATGAAGTATCATTCGATAACATTGTCCAACTACGTTTATCGGATACCTACAACTTTGGACATATCTCGTTGGAACATTGTCCCCCCCTCTGACCCCTTTTACAAAACTCCATATACTGCCCCTCATCAGTGGTGATAAATTTCGTGTGAACTGACTCCATATAATGCTAAGATTGTGTCATGGCAAACTACAAAGCTGTTAATTGTCTGCAACTTATGTAACTGGGCCGGAAAGTGGGCTACCAAGTACGTGTCATACAATTAAACTAATTAGAGTTTCTCTAGCTCCAGTAACGGTGGAGAGATGACCGATATCGGACCTTCATGAAGAGAAAATTAGAGCTAGGCATGCAGGATGAACGTGAATAAATTTAAAAAAATTGCCTTGTGAACTGAGAGCGATGCAACAACAAAAAATTGGTGTAATGAGACATCTTGTCGAAGCATCTTGTTACAGAGAATTATTAAATGAAAGAATGTGTAGTCAATGGAATGCTCGAACGGTAAAATTGCCACTTCTAAAGTTCAGAATTTCCTCCACTTAAAGTATTATTACCTTTCTAGGACTGCACGACTGTTATCAGCGTCAGATCCAAGTTGTTTTTTTGAATGCAATCCAAATTTTGCTCTTCACTCTACTACAGATTGTCTAATCTTTCACCGATAAGCTTACGATACGGACTTCCTCTGAGGAAACACGTAAAAAGGATATGAAATTTTGGACAACTCTAGAAAATAGATTATAAGCCAAAATAAGGTTCGTATCATTAAGATAAAAAGCAGATGCGAAGCTAACTGCTTCCTATCAGTTCAATCATTTAGGAAACAATCACTCAGTAGCAGAGATAAGTTTGTTGTTCTAGATTAGATTAGCTTAGTACGATAGTACATACGACGAGGTGTTATATATAATAACTGGGGTGGTGCTGTGTTTGTAGTTAATTTATGCAAAAGCAGACGTAGTGTTCCTTTTTCCATGGATGAAAAAGATCCTTTGGACGTACTACTAGATTAACCTTAACAAATAATCACGTGTGTGTCTTTGTTTGTGTTTTATACGTAGTATCTTCTGCGCATGACACACTTACACTGGCTTACTCTTGTCAGCCTGTCAAAGATTACATGTACTATTTCAAGTCCACTGAATCAGATAGAACTATGAATAGATGTTTTTGAGCGTGTAAACAAAATCGGCCATCCGCCGTTTCACGTGTAGAAATCATGCAATCCAGGCATTAGACACTGCAAATATAGCAACTGGCGCCGCAGGAATAAAGATCACTGATAGGCTCCAGGCAGTCGTCAGACTGACGAGTCAAATATGTTCCATATGAATCAGGGAGTTTCTGTATTCACATTGCGTTTCGAATGACGGGCTCTGCACCAGGAAATGATAACGTACGTGAACGGTAGAATGACAGATCAAAGCTGAACGATTTCAGTTGTATATCTGTATCATCTGTGTGAGTATTATACCATTCTCTTAAATTATCAGTTTGGTTTTACGTGTTACGTTAACTGGCTACGACAGCCCTACTTATTATCTGCGATGAACTATATGATCTGTCACGAATCACGACATGCAGTAATTAGTAATTACTGCATATATTATAATGATTCAACTGATATGTTATCATGATTCAATTGCATATATTATCATGATTCGACAAGTTGAATTTGTGCATTTCACAGACGTTTGAAACAATGCCCTCGGGTTTAAAAAAGAAGATTATTTAACCTCGTTTGTTCACATCTATATATAACTGTTTATTCGTCATTTCAAAAAATAGAAAATGAAGAGTATGAGAGAAAATGACAACGCATGGTTAGAACGGTTGGTGACGGCAACCGGTTAATGACTCAAGAATGATTAACACAAAAATATAGCAGATGAGTTTTACAGCGACATTTAACAGTGATGTAATTCTTTGTCTTTATCTCAAAGCAGCAGCATTTTTAATTTTGAGAAGCGTCAATGTCGTGGTTCGTATGAAATAAGGTGAAGCACCCATCATCAACCCATTTCGTTTTCAGGGTTGTCCCAGTTGAAAAGAGTGCATTTCAGTGCACTACATTTCTGAGGAGCGGAGGATTGTTGAATGGCCACCTACTAAGGATACCCGCGGGTTTATTATTACTATTATTAATAAAGTAATTCAAGGGATATAGCATCAAAAATAACCTGTATAGTCCTTCGACTGAATTTTTTAACCTTTTATTTTCAGAGAAATTGAAAGCTTTTTTTCGAAATATTTGCGAACCAAAGCTGCTACCCGCCATCTTGTTTTATAATGGGATCAAATTACCGATCGTCACAGGCTGAGTCGACGTTTTTTGAGTTTAGAAATGCCACTGTTTCATTTAACGTCAGGATAATTTTAATGAAATATCCTTCTAACAATGTTAGGAACTGCAATACAGAATGTTTGCCCCCTCCAGTCGGTCGAACTGAGAAACTATATAAGATGAAACATCTGTTAAATCCGACTTAATAAGCCTATATATAGCCTACAGGCTATGAACTTTAATTTTAAAGGCTAATGCAATAAGCATGCTATCCATCAAAGCGAAAGCGGTGTATAGTCCGTAATATAAACAGACGCGGTGTGTGTATATATATATTTTACATGACTATATTTCTTGAAAAATTAAACAACCACTAACTGTCAAAATATTAACGCCATTTTGTTCCATATTTCTAAATGAATACGGGATAAAATTTTTATTCGGAAATCTGGAAAATAATTGTTGCATCAAGTAACCTACGATAGTGATAAGCAGACAAGTTGCACAATATAGCTTTTGTAACATTCGCCCTACCTCCTCCCCCCCTCGTACACCCCTCCTGGTGAAAAGCAGGTAAGTTTGGCTTAATTATATACAGGGTGTCTCAAAAAAAACGAAAACTATTGAAATCACTCATTGCTAAAATTTGAATGTCGTGGGGATCTAATGTAACTTAGAAAATGCTAAGTACGAAAAGTTTGAAATTGTGAATATGATTAAATTTAAATTAACCTTGTTATTGCTTCGAAAGAAAATGGTACAGCTGACCGCGGAACAACGTGTGTTTATTGTAATAAATTACGCGCGCCCAAAGTACAACGGTGCGAAACGCTTTTTGACAAAGGTCGACAAAGGAAATTTTACTGCATCATGCACAAAAATACGTATGGCAAACATTTATACACTTGTGGGTTCCAACAGAGTGCTTAGTCATTTAAACTCTAACAATTACATTGTTATAGGTGATTTCAATAGTGTCAGTTTTTTTGGGACGCCCTGTAGAACGTTGGAAGTGAACCTGCAGGTGTATGTTAGATATTGTACCCTCAATGCGTGCTTCCGAGGGTATTAGTGAATTTTGTTTCTCAAGAGTCTAAATGCATGTTTCCCAAGACGAAGTCGTGATGTCGCAGTTATGATTGGTAGCCGCGCAGAGAAGCATTTACATGCAGAGAAGCATTTTTCGTAGCTACTGTACTCATGCAGTAGCCCGGATAAAACTTTTAGTCATTAAAAGCCATTGAGCCTTTAAAATGTCGATATAAACAGCGGAATTGTATGGGTCAACTAAGTAATTACTAATCCAACGTAGTTATTATACGCATGCAATGGGACAATTTGTTTTCGTATGTTGAGCTAACGACCACGGGTGCATGGTTGTTGCTCAGCAAGTTATACCGTCGTGCCGCCTCGAGAGGCAAGTTTCTCACGGGTGCGGATGGTTTTCAGGCTGAGCTATAACTGCCTCGCAAGGTCGTTAGCTCAGCTCAATAGCTCTCGTGTGCGGCGGACTTAAGGAATCGAATTTGACTGTCAGTCATCGCCTTACAATTGACTCATTAAATCAGAAAGTAATAACTAATATTATAGTCAAAGAGTTTGGAACTTCTTATAATTGCTTTATTATCAAAATCATTTTTATTATCCCCACTTATCGCTCTCAAGGCATGCACATGTATTATTTCAGACACGATTTTCGTGAAAAGTGTGTTTATATAACGATCGATGCATGTAGCCTATATAACATTATTTTCCATGTCGTTGTTTAGTTTATGTTTGATAATTAAATTAAAAAAAATTACTGCTCATAATTAAGTCTTGGAATCTCGGCATCTTGCTTAAATTGAATTCATCCATGTGTTGCTAATACTTGGAATTCCAAAACTGAAACAATATACAGTATATGAGACACTCACAGTTCAAACCTGAATCATACATGTTCTCAATTTAGTTTATTCAAAAGCTAATGCTAACATTCTACAAATTTTTCGTATCTTGGACATAAATCATCACACCTCAACTGGCTTTCGACCAAGACGCATTAACAAGTATTATTCTAAACGTGTTGAAATAGGGTGGTATGTGTTGCCCGTTTGTATACAGCGGTTTGAATAACTATCTGAAACGAGTTCGGATTCGGTATATTCCACGCTCCATGCATGTAATCTAAATTAGCAATACTTTTCAGCGACGAGTTTGAAGTTATGGATCTATCAAATTCCTAAGTCAAATATAGCTGGCCAACTAATCATGATGATAAATCGACCTGTATATACAGCGAGTAAAATTGATATTGATGTTGATATCTATGATTATACACGCTGCCAAACATTTAAAATTGCAGTGCATCAATTAGGCAATTAGCCTGTCACTATAGCCTTCGCAACACTTAATTTTAGCAAGATTGCAAAAAATCGTATATTTGTTTCTTGACCGCATGCATATACAATTTTCAGTTTATACCAGTATCTGCAAACATCCAGAATGACCAGGAACAAGCATTGCATTGTCTTTGAATAACTTCTTATATATTAAATCTATAAGAAGTATATCTAGTCTTGTCTGCAAGCATTAACAACAACTGAAACAAAACTTTTCAACCAAACGTTTTCAAACAAACGTTTCATTCTTTGGTGCAAGCAAATTCGGATGAAAGTATTAATACTATCTATAAGCTAGGGAAGTCGGATATATGCCTGATTCAAATTTTCATCATAGGAATATTTACCCAAGCTTGTTCTTTGTAAACTCAGTATGTGTCACAAACCATGAAACGGAAAACTTTTTTCAAAATGTTCAAAAACAATGCCATATCTATACGTTAATATTATTTACCAGCAATTGCTTATACAAATCAGTAGAAACTCTTTAACGTGCCGGCATACTCAATGCTGCGATAGTTGGTGGTAGTTCCACAAGTATACCAAAAAATCAGATCACTGAGTGGTCACATGCTTTAAACAAGTGCACGGTTCTCACGCTACTAACGTCACCAACTAGGTCTGAACTTAGAAGCAGGTCAGACACACACATCTACCAGCGGTTTTTTCTGTTCTTTTAAACGCATTCCAAAGTTGAAACGCTACTAATGAGGTCCTCAGACATAAGCAACATAAGAGTTTTAGACCTAATTATGAGAGCTAATCAAGTGTACACATGGGATGCAATGGGACTCTGCTCAATGCTACACTAGTTGTATGAAATCAGTCTTGGCATGAAAAATGTACATCGGACCTTTTGTCTAAATGCATTTACAGTGATTTACTTTCAATGTTTCCATATAACCAAGTACTTTGTTTTGGCCCTGAGGTGTTTTAATCAATCCCAGAACAAGACATTGGTTTTACATACCACAACAGAAAATTTCATTTGGACCTCTCCACCTTTTCTTTTGGCAGCCCCCTTCTAGAGCTATACTGTCCTGCTATCTTCACGGCTCTTTCATATCATGTTCCAATGGACTCTTTTTATAGATTTTAAGAAGACTATATATTCTTCCTATATTGATGCACACAAAAATACCAAACAAGTCATACGTTGCAAATGTGTCCAATTCAGCGATAGTTTGTCGCGATAATTGTATCAATTTAAGAATGATAAGTATTTGCCAGCTGCTAAATATATAGCTCTTTAATCTTATCTCAAATCAAGGATAAACGCCTTGAGATTCTTGCCGTTTTTTTACAAATGTCGTAAACTCTTTGCGAAAACAATCGTATAGTGGAGTGCTCTATTAAATCTAATATTTCCTTCTCTAAGTGTTTATCTTGTAAACAGCTGAGGTAAACTTTCTTTCCACAAAACGTATAACATATATATGACTATATCTTATCAGTTTTTGACTTTTCTCTCTTAGACAATCTAGTATACTTTCAATAATTCAGTACCATGTATAGAACGCTGCAGGGTATATATAGAAACTTTTTTATATCTAGATACACGCACTTTTATAGCTATATTCCCCCCTGGACGTTCACTAAGGTTCATCCTTCATGAAATAAAACAGTTTCGCAGTAGGACTGGAATTAAGCCTAGGCAAAACCAATCTATATCTTATTTACACTAGAATTCAATATTCTAAACTGTCCTTTATGAAATATTATAGATTTGCTTATTAGCTAAGTCCCGTTTTATTACACAAAATAATGAAAACCTAACCACTCATTTTAGACCGGATATAAAAGTCTTGTATCCTTTAATGACTTCAATATTTGTCAAACAAGATGTGTGCTGGATGGATTCGCGCTTGATATTCCAATTTGACTATTTCCGCTCAAGGAAAGAATTGACCCTGAACAATTGAACATCGACCACAGATGAATGTTATTAACGGATTTTCTGTCGGTATGCAACGATAACGTTAATACCTAATATTTTACAGATTACAGCGCGTAATAAAATAAGATAACATTAAGCTGGTGCTTTACTATTTACTTACCTAAATACCAAATGACTGTTTTCTTTTTTTTCTAAAAGTAGTTGAGGAATCTTTTTGAAAACAAACATGAACGTAACGAGACAATTTCTGATCCTGTCAGTTTAACACCAGAATATACGTATCTTGTTACTTTGACTGAAAAACCAGCTGAAAATCCCAAGACCAGTGGACCTTTCTCAGGCACAGTTCCGAATTTGTCTGTTGTTAAAGCGGAGCCTTTTATGTGAAAGTGGAAGGTTCGTGCCTCACTTCAAAGATGAGTGCCAATTTCTATCGAGTGCAAATCGATGAGCTAACACGTCGGTCAAGCTCCCCATTCGTACTTGAGTACATTAAATGGAGTCATGCTGGCCCGCGCTCTTTTTGTGAAAGGTCAGGTTTCAAGGATTACCCGATTAGGCATCAATTTGTGTTATCAATCTCTGCATGGTTTTTGCGTACGCTGTGCACTAATTTGAGCAAGCTTTATAACATTGTTGATGCATTTTTCATGTGGTGTTCATCTCTTGCTACACATTCATAGTCTAGGTTGAGCAATATTTAGACTTCGTAAACACTGGATGACGAATAGACAAAAGTGCAAGTTTCCTGCAAGTGCAATCTCTGTCGGTGTTGCTGATTTGGCAGAGGGAAAATCGCTGAGAGCAGATTCAATTCCTGTCAAAAGTTGAATTTTTCGTCCAGGTCACAGAACAATGTGTACATTATTTACGCTGGTTATTTTCACCTTTCAACCCACTATTATACTTCTCGCTGTTACACAGCAATGTCCTACCCGGGGCGCGACGCATTCAGAAATTATATACAACACAAAATACTTAAGAAAATGTGCAGCAGCGATTTGACTGAAGAGCTTCTTATCAAATTAGCAGCTCAGCCTAAAATATTATAAAAAACAACTTCTCGACGTTTCCACCTAAGGGCCGTCGTCTGCCTGGAAACATCTGCGCCTTCATCATAATAATTTTGACGAAAAAGGCCTTAACAATCCTGACCCTTTTTCATTCCCCGTATAGATCTTTATCAATATTTACAAATATTTTCCAATAATATTGACCCAGAGACTAACTAGAAACTCTTTTAGGGTTTCTAATGAAAATGAGGAAGATAAAATAGATAAAATGTCATTTTTCCTCATATAATTTTGACTTCTCAAATTCCATTTAGACGTCCGCCATTAAAGTTGTTTCGCACTTCAACCGCCTTAAAATGAATCGAGTTTCTTGTATGTTTTTCTATCAGTCCACACAGTTAAAAAAATTAATCAGGACATGCTAAAGACTTTGACAAACAGATGCGGAAATGAGCTTTCAACCTAAGCTTCTTAACCCTGAGGATATGTTTTATCGTGGAAAGTTGTTTCAATTTCGAAGAATGTTGTTTTTTGCTTCTTACAAAGAAATAGCATCTTCAATTGTTGCAATACTGATAATCTTCATGTAAGTAGACTTACAGTCTAGGGTATATATATTTATGGCATTTGCATTTTCAATTTTCGTCTACCACGGACCACGACGGGTCGGTATAGCTACGTATCTATATATATGAACAAGCTGCTATTGGTTGATGATAGCAATAAAACACAATGAACTATAGAAATTAATTTCTAAAAGAACGAATCATAAACACTGTTCACGATTCTTACAAAAAGCCAATCGCAAAACTCGTTCATATAGGTAGATACTTACTGACCACGACCCATTTCAGTGGAAACGTATAAACATTTCAAGGCATAATACGATCTAGCCTATAAAAGGAGTTAGGGCATGGTCATGGTCCACCTTTAACTGCGATCAATCCAAGAAAACTGAAAACTATTTTATTAGTCCTTCACTCCACATATCCACATATATAAGCTCCAACATACAGGGTGTATAAAAAAACTGCAAATACCATAATTTGTATGCACTTTAGAATTCAATGACTGTGCAACTAATTACGCTTCTGGGATTTGAAAATACGTTTCCCAGGGTTATCAAAACAAGCACACAAAGTGAATTAAAATAAGGTCGATTATACGAATGCCTCAGCTAACAACAGAGAATCAAATCCCAGAAGCGTAATTATATAGTTGCACAGTCATTGAAATACTAATGTACAGGGTGAGTAAAAAAAAACTGACACCTTTGAAATTCAAATTAGCTGCGAACTTATGACTGGAATATGACAATTCCCATGTACAATCAACAAAAACGATTTGATAAAACTGTTCTTTTGTATTTACAGAGCTTAGAATGCATTTTAACTCCCAATGGGAACAAACTTTATGTTTTAGGTTAATTAATATGAGTACGCTCCGTATACCTACGAAATATTTTATGCAACTTTTGTCACATTACAGCCGCTATGCCACTAATTTGAATTTCAAAGGTGTCAGTTTTTTTTTACTCACCCTGTATAATCTCGTGCATACAAATTATGGTATTTGCAGTTTTTTTTTATACACCCTGTATATAAGCTCCTCAGCAAATGCGTTAATATCTATACGCCCATTTTTCTTCTTATGTAGCAGTTCATAAGCTTATCAATCTAGCTAGGGTGGGCTAATACATCATACACGAGCTTAATGAGGATTAGCTTAATAGGAAAATGCCCTCCCTCACAGAAAAATTTCATAGCCTCACTCTTGTAGATTTTTAAACGGTTTTTAGTTCAAGCCAAGCATATTTATGAGAATCGAATCTATTTTCACGATTACGCACCAGTTTGCGAACAAATTGACAAATCTTGTCCGAATGTTCATTCTACATCAGTGCATGTTTGTAAGAAATTATTTGAATTACGTTCAATTAAAGAATTAGGAAAATAATTAAAGTGGCAAAATTTAAATGACGTGAAATTAGTTTAACATATGCATACATGCATACACAAGCAATAATCTCTTGTCATATGACTGTCCTTGAAGAAAACGTTATTTTCAATTGCTTTTACTATATTACTGAAAAGTCTCTAACCGTATGAATTCTTTAGTGCATAAATTATTAATAAAATGTGTGTAACTAAAGAGTGTGGCTCGGCTTTTTACATATGATCAACGCAAAGACCAAGATTGCTGCGCTTGCATTGTCTTCGTAATATAATTATAATCAAAATCCAGCCTCGTACCCAGGCGCTTCAATAGTAACGGTCGATTCAGTTATTGTATAGAAGTCAGCTTGAAATAAACGAGCGCGCGGGGGTGCTTGGGAATTGGGATGGTTTTGTTTTGGGAGGAAGCTAAAACCTTTGTCAAAACCACTCCAAGCACCCCCGCGCGCTTCACTATTTTCAGCCGACCTCTATACAATGACTGAATGCAAGGTTATATATTTTACTATTAAAGCACCTGGGCACGAGGCTGATAAAATGTCTATGCGAGTATTGATTTCAATGAAATACAAGCACTTTCGGTGCGCAATTTCGGTGCGCTTGTAGTTATAGGTTTTAGCGACGATTTCCTAAAGTGTATATAATAGTAGATGTGTATTATGTATAAGTTTATATAAATAACTGAATAGTTTCAAACACTGGCCTGCATCAAAGTCAAGGTAGTATGAATAAAGGTGAAAAACAAGTGAGGCTAGCAGGGGATTGGCAGGGGATGAAGGTTCACATGCGGTTTGTTTGACATGTTAAAAATATAGAATACATGCTTGCACTTGATTTGATATCCAACGACCAGCAGGAGATCTTTTTTTGCGTTGTTTTCCCAATTCCCAAGCAGGAATTAGAAATCTAGCTTATCCGGATCGTATCAACTTTGTCGCCGTAAGGTGGACACGCGAGGTGGAAACTGCATACATATTCGTGACTTATTCGGGCATTTCCGGTAAGATGGTTAAGAGCAAGCAAATCCGTGAGCAAATTAAGCAGTAAATTTGTAAGAATGCAGCCGGAGTGCCTGGCTTTCATCCGCAGGATTAATTTGCAATAGACCTTTCCCATTTTAGCTGTCAAGCGCGCAATGCGTGACAGTAGTTGATTATAAAGGTCGATTGGAGTTGTGATTTGGCCATGATCAGGAGCGATTTAGTTTGACAAAGAAGAAAAAGAATCAGCAAAGTTTTCTTACAAACAAAATCGCTTCTAAGCAGAGCGATATTGCAACTCAAAGTTGCTTGATAAATTATAATTAACTACCGTCACGCATTGCGCGCTTGAAAGCTAAAAGGGGAACGGTATAGTTGAAATGTAGTATGCAAACACTACCTTTGTATGCAAATCGTAATCAAGCACAGTCAAAACATGCAGATAAGTATCGTTTGCTATTACCAAATTTGATCGAGCTGAACGGTACGTATCTTTAGGCTGTTTCTTTGAAATATGATAAAAGATTGACGTAACGAACAAGTCAATAAAATCAGTTTATGTTAATTTTTATATGCGGTATTGAAAGAAAGCGAATGAAAGTGAGGTCTAGGATGAATTGAAGTCATTTAACCGCGCATACCCTATAATAATGGTCGTGGTAATCTCTACTTATTTCTGTATGGCAAAAATAGTTTTGGAGTCTATCGATCTATGGACTACTATAGACTGTTCTACATTGTTCAATCATTAAATATTCATATCGCGCATGAGAAATCAATATTCGTTCCCGGAATCCAATGAGATACAACAGAAGAATGACAATTGACAAACAGAGATGATCAATTTCAAATTGTCCAATCTGAAAACCTTATATATACCACGAAATTCTGTGAAATAATTCTCTATCACATTCTATAATAGACTAAACACCATAGCCTAAAACTCGTTTACTACGTTCCAGCATTGCATTACCATGTCATATGACAAAGCCATGTCAAACGTTGTATTCTAGTTCGCAAATAACTTATCAGTATAGTAACAGACTGTTTTCGGATGCAATTTATTTACTTTTTGCTCAGGAGTTCATTGAAATACATATCATCCCCTGATTCCCTTCACCCCTCAGGAAGACTATACTCGCGGGCCCCAAAATATACATCTTCATCCACACTAATATTTGCATTTACCCCGGTCGGAAACCCCCCGTTTTATTGTATGGGCGATTTTTGATCAGAACATAAGTGTTTGTCCCTAATCTGTAATGTTTATACAATGAGTCGAATGCGATCCTCTTTAAAAAATCGGCTAAAGATCTGTCATTAGATCAAAATTGCACGTGTATTATTATTCATGATTATTCTAGTAACGGCCCTTTTAAGTCTCATATCAACCTCTTTATTTCTGCTGGTTTGTAGCTTGATTGTCTCTTTCACTTGCACTTTTGTGACAGTGAACGAGAACTCATTTTTGCCTCGCCCCCCCCTGCGGTTAATAATTTCGCCTACCCCCTGAGTAAGAACTCATGCATGTACTGAACATGAACTGTATATCCTTCATTGTATACGGTCATTTTATAAACTCAGATTAGCAAATGCATATGCATGATGATAAAAAGTATCGTCATGCATCTCGGTTCTGACATGTAGTGTCTGCAACTGTGTTCAGTTTACAACCTGACGTTTGGCCAAGCCTGGCCTCCCTTTTTTTATTCCTGCTGCACTGCCTATCATTCCTATAAAATACGTTATTCGACTGTTCCCGTGCGTGTAACTATTATTCACATGAAAGCTACGCAAAAGTGATTGTTTTAGTGCATGTCAACTATATAGTTGAAATTATAACGAAAGAACATCTGTTATCTGATAGAAAGTTGGGATCACCAATCGCTAAATTTAATAGAATCCATCAGTTAAAAATTTATCCTGCCTTTTACCTGTATGCACTTCAGGCTTTGCATTGAAAACTCCTTTAGGGCTTTATGGCACAAATTTTATAGTTATGTCTACTTTCTATCTCATCTTCCACGTGGTCAAATGTACCAAAAATGTACAACATACCTTTCCCTTCGGACCTTCAATATGCATCAATTTGTAGTCCACGGTCCACTTCACTCCTCAGCTCCTTTATCGACGATTTTTTTGTGCTTTATTCTCACTCAACATGCAATACTATATTTATACTCTAAATAAGCAATGTGCATCTGATTCAACCAATCAAGCGAGTCCTTGCAAAACGTTAAACAGTGAACTGATAAGCAATTAGCAGTCGATATTAACGAAGAGCCGAAATTGAACTCAGAATTTTAAAAATATGTTAACCGCTGTTGGTCTTACTTTTGCTAGGTTGGTTTGTAATAAAAAATATCCAAACGTTTGGCCTAAATAGGCCTAAATAAACCATCATTCATTGCGCTCTTCCAGATTGGGAGCTTTTTTTGGAAATATATCTTAATTGAAATTAGCTGTAAAATATAAACAAAGCGTTAATCATGGGACAACATCCTCTTTTTTTTCTCTTTATCGCTCCTCAATATTATCTCGCAACCGCAGGTGAACAGCAATTTTGTGGTAGTCACTTTTTGTCGTGCGTTTTGTTGGTTTCAGGCTATTTCGGACGTAGGTTTATTACGTTTTTCTGTTTTCCATTACAGGGCTTGAAAGTTCGAAAATATTATTTTGTCCACAACTACGAAAAGCGCTTGCCTATAGCTTTCCAAATTGGTCGAACCGTCATATTTTGAATGGAAACTGAGTATTTCGTTGAAAATAAAGCGGTCAAACTGCATTTATACGTACTAGCCTGCGAGGCGAATGCGAATTCACAATCTATTTAAATGCGGAGTTCTTAAACACTTCGAGACACTAGTAACTGTCTGTACGGAAATTGAACAGGACCTGTCTATAAAAAAGTAAAGCGCCCTATAAAAAGAACAAACTCTTGACGTTCTTTTCGTTGATTTCCTTTACGCTCCCCTGGAGCTGGTGCGTTTTCAATAATAAAAATCTTTTCAGCCTTGCATGTAGAAGATGGAAATGCATGTTTATTGAGGCAAGGTTTTTCTGGCTCATGGCAGACCATGAGCAAATATGAGCAGGTGTTCATTAGGCATTATTCGGCAATTCAGAAGAAGAGTTTGATAAAATTATCCAATAGTTTGGCTATAATATTCCTTGACTATCTCAGAAAGATCGAATCGATCATATCTTAGAAAAATAAAATGCTTTCGATTGATAAGTAAACATTTTTAATAAGCTAGTGTCTGAGTATCTATAACGCAAATGACGAATGTTATATGATCAGTGGTTCCTGGCCACTAATAATATTATACTTTCCTAGTATCATTTTAAAATAAAAAAACGATCTATGGCAATGCTGCTTGAAATATTGTCCAGGTATCTGAGGTATTCGTTATAGCAGAGAACACCAAAAGAATATGGATAATTGAATGATCAGTCTTTTGCTTCAGAACTCATTTTTTACCATGCACCAGTGGCGTAGCCAGCCTGACGATTTAGTCATGCTATGCAAATTTTATGTTATTATCATTGATTCATTTTTTTAGAAATTCATTGTTTTCACAGTCAATGAACACCAAAATATTAGCATGGCATGACTAAATTGTCGGGCTGGCTACGCCAGGCATGCACGCTTGCACTTGCGGTTTTTACTTGATTGTGGCATAGATATAGTTAAAAGACTGATTTTATTATCCATGACTGGACTGGAGGGTATATATAGGCTATAGCTTGGCCTGAATTTCAGTGCAAAGAGATGGCGTTTTTGGCAGTTCACATTCAGACCAAAGTGAAAATGGAAGTTAGAAAGATATCGGAGCACAAAAGTGTAGCTAATGTATATGTTTGTTTAATAAAGGCAATCTTTTTGAAGCAGGGCCGCAGAACGTTTTATTATTGTACGTGCGTAAATGCGTGCGTAAATGCGTGCGTAAATGCGTGCGTTTATATTATACGTGCGTAAATGCATGCACTTGGAATTTGGAAACATATGAGATTCTACGTAATGAAAAACCATAATATAGCAATTACACTAGCAATTACTGTATATTATGCATATAGAGAATTTGTTAATCATTTCAATTTAATTATTAATAATAACAATTTAAGATAACCAAATTTCGATAGGAAAATAATAACAATTTATTTTTTGAAGATAACCAAATTTCGATGGGAAAATCTGGCTCGTGTCCTGATGTTTTTGTCTGAATGCGCAAGTAGATTGACTAATATCCATTACATAAAGTTGATTGCAATCTCAAGATAATTAAATTGTATGAATGTAAAAAAAACAAGCCCCGATGTTTAGGTTTGTACTCCCTAGATTTTTCCATTTAAAATTATATTACTTAAATATAAAAGAGAAAAAACTTGGAAAAAATCCAAGTTTGCGGTGAGGCCTTTTCCCGAAGGGGAAAATTGTGACCGGCTCTCTCCTGAAGGCCTTGGGAACTAAAAAGCATTTGAGTTTTGTGAACCGAAAAAAAATGTATTACTTGGGAACCTCCGCGTGATTTGATGATTCTTATACCTGGTACAGCAGCTGAAATTCGTCACGGTCCTGTAGATAAATGATGCCTCTTAGCAGCCATCGTCTTGTAAAACATAAATTAAACAAATGCTAGCTCATTTTCACGGATAAAATGTCAGGTTTAATATCGGTTACACGGCACCTGAAGTCCTGAAACGTACGTACCAGATTATTTTTATATCGCCGTCCACAGTGCCAGAGTGAAAGCACATTTTAACTTCGGACCTTCGGTTCACATGTGAGCAGTTGTTGCGCTCAGTTCAGCTGTACAACTTACGAAATGGCGAGGTTTTAGTCAATAAAACGAATCACGATGAATCACGAATTTGCCGTAACTTGTACATAAAGCCAATACAGTAAAAAGCCAATTCTAGACGCTGTGATTTTCATGTGCAAACCAATTAATAGCAATTAGTAGTACGTGGTAAGAACGTATGGCGTCTAAAATTGGCTTAAAATTATTAGAATAGTATATTCAAACTGAAACTGTAACCGAACAATCCACACAATCGCTGATTTTATGCCTTTAACTGGCTTTAAGCTAGGTTTTGACTTATACGTTGCCAAGGTTTTGTAAAGCGAAAAATCAACTGTGACGAAATATGTCATCCAGGGGCGTAACCAACTACACCAAAGTATGGGCAGGGGGAGTGAATAAAAAAAATTAATTGGGGGAGCTAGCTCCTAATGTATTGGTTACAATGTTTCCACCTTACCTCGTTATAAGGCCAGGACTGAGGCAGACACGAGTACGGTATTACCGTATTAGATTAATCCCAATTTTATGTCCCTTGCTGAATTGCATGTATCCGTCCTCTGCGCTCTCCAAAGAAATTTTTCGACGTAAGCTTTACACGATATCGTGAATATCTAACTAGGAACAAGATTGAACTAGGTGGGGGAGTGCAGAAATAAAGTGAGTAAATCTGAAGGTACACGACCATTGGCATTGTATTGAAATATTTTGTGATTAATTGGCGTAGTTCAGCAGGTTTTGTCCTGTATATAGCCTCTGTGCTCAAAAACCGCCAGCCGTCTGGACTCCATCCATAGAATTATAGAATAGAAATAATACACTTGTCTATGACTCTGCCATTTGAAATTGTGCCTAGAAAAAGGAATCTTCCAAGTTCCAAATATGGAAATGCTGTTCTTTAAGTGGAAACACCTCTATTATTATTAAGGAATTTTAGCTGCGAATACAGGACATTTCAGAACAAAATGACAAAAAATAATATCGAAACAAGTATAATTTTCAAATTTCTTGCACTTCATGCAGAGAATTGGTCCAATACTGATCCATAGAGAACAAAAACCGTAGCAATTTATGCTCGAAGCGGAAAAAGTCCCATTTGAAAGTCTGTGAACGAATATATTTCAAATATGGCGAACGGGCGGAATGATTTAGCAAATTATAATGGTGTTGTATCTGATTCATATAACGGCGAAACACACGGACAGGTTTTGGGAAGACATATAGAAACGTCTGTCGGCATTTCTCAAGACGAATATCCCCCCGAATCGAATGATAATTGTGTTGAAATAAGCCTCGAGCCATGCGCTACTGAGCACGATTCGAACATCCTGGAAAGCAAGACGTCTCCTAAAAAGTCTTCTTTGAGACGTAGACCCTATGTTGCACCGAAGCCCATATTGGTCAAGTATCGTTCAAACAAGGATGGGCAAAACGCGTGCGAGTGTTTGGAGAACCGTGAGGATAATGACTCTTCAAATATTAGCGCTGAAAGTGAGCTTGGTGCGGATTTAAACGTTCGAAAGAGGGAAGCCAGAAGTTCCAGAGACCTCAGAAACTCTGCTGGTGCTAGTGGCGGTATATTTAACGAAGATTTTGAACCTGATTTCGGCGAATTTGAGGTAGAAACCGACGAAGTTGTAAAAGGTAAATCCATTAGATTATAGTATCATATTTCCCTAGTTTTGTCTTTGAAGTTTGAATCAGACAATAGATACTGATACTATCCACAGGGGTTCAGAAATGCCCGGTATATAGAATAGTTTTATAAGGTAAGGTACAGGACAATAACAATCAGTATGTAGATATGCACTTACGTAACGGAACTAGGAGCAATTATTATCGTCATATTTCATCATATCTTCATGCTGTAAGTTTATAATCAAAACTAAATAGAAATGTATAGTGACAAATGTAATTGGTAAGTACATGTATACATGCCTTTATTTAAAAACACATACCATTATACTGTTACCAAGATTTATTATAACATATGTTTTGTTGAATGATTAAGTTTTAACAAACTGCAGTCAGATTATTCTTAAAGAATTACCAATCCTTTAGTACTATAATATAAGTATTATGTGTATGAGTATATAATGGCAGGCAAGTACCATACAGTAAATCTGCTGGTGTCTTTTGGTACCCCTTTTTCTTACACGTGGCAATGTGCTTAATAATATATGAACTTTGCGTTAGCAATTTAGTCAAATACCAGATAATTCATCCCGTCACTTATTGGAGTGAGCTTATATACATATATATATATATATATATATATATATATATAATTATATATATATATAATTATATATACAGTAGGAGGCAAAAGTTTGAGTCCAGTCGTTGTAGAATTCCAGTATTAAATCCTGGCAGCGTATTCGAGTAAAGACATGCGTGCTAGTGTTTCAGTACTATAAACCATATTAATTGCACACTGTTTTGGTCCTAATGATCTAAATTATAACAAAATAAAGTTCTCATTCCTTTACACTGCCCAAGATGGGTGGGAAAAAGTGCAAAGTGATGGTGCACAAGGACAAATAGTTGCATTAAGTATTGAAGGATTCTTTCCTCGTAAGATCGCAGAAAAAGTGAGAATTTCAAAGGGTGGTATGCAACTAACCTTGGAGAGGTTCGAAGAAACTAAATCCTACTCAAGCAAACTTTTAGCTGCCTCGGTCATGCTGGGTTTGGCAATATTGAAAGATATAATAGGATCCTAATCAAGGAAAAGTATCATCCGATTCTTCAAGGACATGGAATTTCATCTGGTACAAAGATAATCGCGCGTCTAACTACATGATAATCACCCTAAGCACATGCACATCTTCTATGTGCCAGAAATCTTTTAGAAGCAAACTCGTTCTGGTTATCTCGTTCTCCTGGCTTTCCACCTCAAATTCCAGATCTAAAACTTATGGAACATTTCTAGGACCGTTTCAACGGGAAAAGGGCGAGGCAGAGACCCAGCAGCGACGATGACTTGAGGCAAGTGGTCAACGAATGCTGGCAAGGTATTGAACGTGCGACATTAAAAAACCTATGGAATCTATGCCAGCAAGAATAAAGGCCGTTTCAAGAGCAAAAAAGAGGGATACAAAGCATTCACATGTAATGCATCTTTGCACATTAACATACGTTAAATGAATATCATAACATCTCATAGTTGTTGTACAGCATGTATTTTTCAGTTTACTTACTTACTTTTTTCTAGTTCACTTATAGGTAAGGTTTTCTGTAGAAAATTAATGTATGCTGCCAAAACAATGAAATACAGTCACTGGACTCAAACTTTTGCCTCCTACTGTATATATAAATTAAAGCTGGTTCAAATTTTTTAGTAAATCTATGGGCAAATTTTGAGATATTGAACAAAATTTTAGTATCTATTGGGGACTTATAAGTGCAGTAGGGGGAATTACATATGTGAACATGGGGCTTTCATTCCAACCTTCAATGTTTGTGATGTGTATAGAATTACTAGATTATGTATTTATGTTGACATGATGAGAAGTTTATATGTTGCAGAATAATATTGTTTCTTTGGGGTGTATTAGGATGTCAAGTAATTGGGGCCTAACAAAAATGACAATAAAAATATTGATAGCACAGTGATAAAGCATATGACTCATATATATGAATTAATATTCTGATGACCAGTGCAACACAGAGTTACCAACCGTGCGATGACAGGGAGAAATTGAGAAGTGGCTTATATCAGCGTTATTCTTTCCGAAAAAATTTGACTAGCCAGCCTTTGATTAGCCAGCCTCTTTCCCAGTTAGAAAAAGTGCTGACTGGCCTAAATTTACATGATACAGCAAAATTCCCTTGGTTCTTTGAAAATTATTGGCGGCCAATTTATAAACATTTATAACTTTTGCTCGTTCAGAAATATCTGACTAAAGCATTGAGGAAACCACAAGTTTTGCATCAGATGGGTCTCGAAAATATCGAATATTCACTAGGAGTAAGTTTTATCATGCAGGGAAGGCTATCAAATTATGAACCAAGAACGAACAATACAGAAATTTAACAATGGGAAGAACCATTGAATGCAAATTGAGATTTGAATTGATCAGCAACAAATGATATAGCTAATTGCTAGTATGATTTCCCTGAAACGGTATTTGAGTACTCTCACTGTCTCTCTAAAAAGTGAATGAACATTTTGGATTTTATGAGATTGACTTTGAGTAAAGTGAAAGGTTATTAAAGAACAGATAATTGTGCAAGGCAAGTACTCAACAATAGGGATATTTGATGACAAATATTTAGGATTATTAAAGAAGAGTGATTTTTGTTGTTAAAATGTAATCTTTATATATGGCCCGTAACCGTGTATTTTATGGGCAAAAATGAAATATTTTCAACTTTTTCAGTGTGTTATAGTCTTAAAGATACTTATGGTTAACATTGCTAGTTCATGTTAACCATATATCATGTTCAAACTGTATTACTATTTGGCCTAAATTAATATAGCTAGGCCTAGAACTACGGTGTTTAATCATCAGTACGTTGCTGACAGTGGTGGGGAATTTCCTACGTCGGCGAATTTCGGAAAAAATTAAAGTAAGCGGGGGATTTCTTTGTCAGCAAATACCGTATATGAATGAAACTATAGAGTCTTAACCATAGCAACTGTCGTGTTGTCTTGCCAACTTAATTCCATTAACAAGGCCTGCTCTAAACTCGCTGTCAACCTGCAGAATCTGTTCCGTCTGCCACCTAGGGAATTCTACTTAAAACTGTAAGCTGTTAAGTATGGTGCAATAATAAACTATAATGTGTATGTATACTACCTGCGTTTCCATGCAATATTATTTCCCTTTCTTTAGAATCCTTACTTTATATTCATGATTAGGGTTATTCCTAGGTAGATACATCGGGGATTTCCCGTTATCTAGTTTTAAATAGTTGTAGGTTGATATTTTATATGTACATATTGATTTTTGACCTTGTGTATAACTAGAGGTATAAGTATAGCTGACTGACCACTTTCACTGCGCCGATGCTCGCGTTCAATGCTCGCGGTAGGTTACTTCATGGGTTGGTTGTAATAAACTGATCTAGTCAATGTTGATGCATTATGCTAGATTGCAATAACCACAGGAAAGTTAAAGTACTGTAGCTCTTTGCATAGTTTGTTTTCTATCTAAGAATTTGTGTATGCAACGTCTGCAGTATCCTCAAAGTCGTGTTTAATCCTCTTAAAAATTAAGAGGAAAATAATTCGAATGACAGTTCAAACTAATTCTTATTTCGTTATAGAGTTAGAAAACGAAGTTGAGGAACCGCTTCTTGACCCACCAGAACAAAACATGAGCGAAGACTTTTCTGATATCGACCGTCATAATATCTTATCCATTGGAGGTAGTAATAACCATTATGACTGCCCCGGTTTATTTTTCCTTTAAAAATGAGTGAACTATAAAAACGTTAATTCTCATTTAATGTTCTGTTTTTTAATCAGGAGATGACAAAAATGCCAGGATCGCCATCGTATTTTCAGCATCCAAGTTGCCACCGAAAAATGAAATTGATCATCAGAAGCTGTTTAGGTAAATTTTGTTCCATTTCTTTATTTTTCTTTGCTTGCATATTAATTTTATACTTGTTGATGTTATTGTATGTTTCGCTAATATTCGTTGTGCTATACTTGCTTATACAGAGTGTCCCAAAAAAAAGTCCCCGCTATTGAAATGAAGCTTTTGTTGGAATTTGAATGCATGATCAACGCAGTAGTGTGTAAATAGCATATTCATTAGGTTGAGGCATTCAAATAAAGCGTCTTGCTTTCAATTGGGTTTATCATAATATTAAGGCAATCAGATTCGAACAAAGGCTTGATTTCAATAGAGGGGACATTTTTTGGGACACCCTGTATTGTAAACTTCGTTACATGATTATGTAAATATTCTTGCTCCCTTGCTTTTTACTCAGCTATTGTAATTACTATGTGGCCAATTGTTCAAAAGACGGTTAATTTAACCCATGCAGGGTTAACGCAAATCTTTACATCAATTTTTTTCATCGCTTGTTTGTAAAAGTTGAGTATTCTTCCATGAATATTTTCTGTCTCAATAGAAGTCATATTTTCTAAATTTTTGAAACGTCCAGCTGTGCAAAAGCATAAACTAAAACCGCGGATTAGGATTTAACCCGGGGATAGCGTTGAACAACCGGCCCAAGGAGGCCATCTGTGTTTCCAGTTTTATATATTGCTGGCAAGCACGCGTCTCCGACTGCAATGCAATACACTGTATATGAAACTGGACGCACGTGTACGTCTGGGCTACCTATAGGGTAAGCTACATTGGAAATGAACAAGCCAAAAATTTGAAATTAATAAAAAGTAAACGACGTCACCTCTCTGACAAGCTAACAAACAGAAGAGTAAACACCGAAACAATTTAACCCATTAAGAGTAAAATCAAAGTAAAAATGTACAGAATATTTGTTCATTTTCCGTACCGCATTCGTATATTTAATTTATTGTTTAATAATCGTCTTGCCAGTATGGTAAATTCCCCTCCTATTTTTATTATTTTAGTTTATTATTACGTATTTGTCAACAATAAGGACTATTTACTTTATAATATTTTATTCGTTTAATTCTTTTTCTTTGTTTATCCTTGCTGTTAATATGTTTGTTTACTATTTTTTAGATACATGCAGTACACGTTGGATAAATACGTGGAAAATGATTATTCTGTTGTGTACTTTCATCATGGTCTGAACAGCAAAAATAAACCATCAATTTCATGGCTTGTTCAAGTTTATCATGCCCTCGACAGAAAGTAGGTTGAGGAAGAACTTCAGTAAATAGAATACATGCACGCGTAGCGTCTCATGCATGTGCACAGAGTTGCAAAAAGAGTTCAACCTTCCTCCGGTAGGATTTCAAGTTTTGAAAACCTTCCTCAAAATGACGTTGTGTCACTGAGTCAAGTATCAACCAGCATAAAGAAATATTTGTTTTTTGGTCCATGCGTGTGATCAATTAGAGTGTTCAACTTTGAAACTTCCTCACAAACCTCATTCAAAGCAAACCTTCCTCCGGGTGGTACCCTCGTACCCGCAGCTTTTTTGCAACTCTGCACGTACATACATCCTGTTGCGCCACCTACTATTAGTACTATATAAATGTATGTTGTCTTAGCCACTTTCTATGAAGTACTAAATTCTACGACCATGCATTGATCGATCTAACTTCGTGCTGCGATGCTGTGGTGGAAAACGTGATATTTTAGGAATATTTTAGAATACCCTGGAAGCCTGCCTTCTTAATGTGCATCTTTACATGTTTTCAACGCTGGGCGATTCTTATGGTTCCAGCGGCCTAGATTTTCTGGACTTAGGCCAGGCCTTTGCTCCTACATACAGTATAGTGTAAACACGACTTTAGTTTGGAAGACTTCAGAAGGCTCGGTTTCCTTAACCATTAGTTCATCCTTGCAGGAGTGGATCCAGCACTAATGCACTAATTTGCATGACACAAGAAAACTTCTAAAAATAACAACTCTGTTTTGTAATGCAAATTTGTACACTAGTGCTGGATCCACCCCTGCTTCTTTGTCGTTCAGACCCACATTGTTTTTCCATATTTCGCCTTTTTTTGCAAAAAAATCCCAATAAAATCTCGTTTTTAGGTACAAGAAAAATTTAAAAGCTTTATTTATCGTCCATCCAACGGGATTCATAAAAGTTATATGGAATGTCTTAAAACAGTTTATAAGGTGAGTGCTCAGTTATACTGTAATTATATTAAATATCTACTGTAATTTAGAATGTAATTTAGAGGGAATAGAGAGATAGTCAACCTCGTTCCCGATATTATGGTTCGCTACCTAAAATAATTCAGATTAAGTTTATAATTTTAATAACCTGTAAAAAGAGAGATATGAGGATAATATTTAAAGACTCGGTGATCAAGAAATATATATGTATGTGATGTCGCCTGAACTATAAACATAAAGTTGATAAAGGTTTGTAAATTTAGCTACAATTGTATTTACGCCTGTATTCTAAAAGCTCATTCACACTCAAACGCATTGAGTGTGAGATCTCATTCTTCTTATATCTTTTCCATGGCAATAGCTTGATTTTCAATGTTTTACTTCCTTAAAATCAATATTCATTGACTAAGAAAGAACTTTCAAATTGAACTGTAATAACAAAATTTCTATGTCACACTCAAACAGTGTGAGTGAGCTTTTTGAATACAGGCGTTAGTCAAATTAGGTCGTAACATCTTCTTCTCGGATTAGGAGAGCAACATATTTTTCATAAGAATGGGGAGGGGGTGCACATTGTCTTAATAACTAACAAGCCACCTTATATAGATTTTACCCCAACATAAGTTTCATGTTAGAAATCACTTTCTTTGCAGTGCAAAGTTTTCACAAAAGGTTGTGTACGCAAATCGTTTGGCGGATTTGGAGGAATATTTACATTTACCACAGCTTGATATTCCCGAAGTAGTTAAAAAGTAAATACATTGTTATCGTAGTATTCATAAAAACTAAAATGAAGTGGAGCGGTCATTTTGACCGACGGACTTATCTCGGCCGTTAATTTGTGTGTTTGGAAACACTATGTCCAAGTGACCATTGTGGTGTTGTGTTTGAAACAGATTTAGTACGAGGACGTGAACGTCAAAGACGGCGTGAAAATGGCGAAAGAATTGCGTTGCATGTTCGTATATAGACGACGCATCGCGGCATTTATTCGCCTTTTCCACGTGCTCTTTAGTCGTGGTAAATCACTCCAATATAGGTAGGAAAGCGAGTTGTAGTATATACAGTGCTTGACCTCGCTTCCAGTGCTTCCAAAATTTATTTGCATAATAGCTGTCCTAGCTCATAGGGGGATAGGAATGACAAAGAAGAAAAACAAGCAACTTTTGAAAATAATGGATAAAATATCATACAGATCCCTCCCTCGTGGTTTTCATTTGGAAGGGAATTTCCTTTTATTGTGGAAACCCTGATTGCTTCCTATACGAAGCGTCTTACTGGTTTTATAGATCAAGCTCTCTGAATTGCTTGCTTATGTCGTTTATTCACTAAATGATTTGAATGTATCTAAGAATAAATTTTGATAACTTTGCGACCATTTTGTCACATAATTTACTTGACATGTTGTATGAAACTGTTGTACAATTTATATGAGTATTTGACCATTAATTCAACTTGTTTTTATTGTCAGACACGATGAAGAGATCTCAGAGAGATACAAACCAAAATACTCGCCAGCAGTGTTTCACACAGATCTGGAAATATCACTGCCTGAAACACAGCAGTTTGGCGTTTCCTTGGAAAGGTATAGCAAAACATTCCGAGCATAAAATACCTATAAAAAGTTTTTTTCATTACGTCAGACTATATGATGATAGTTCTAGTCTTGTGTTTATACACGGTGAAACGTTAAGGCGTTTTCATTTGTGTTTTTATGGACGTAGCCCTATCATTTCACGACAGACGTTCAAGCTATGTCGAAATATTTGTTTACGTTTGTAAAACATACGAATTTTCTATAACAGAATCCCTTTTTAAAAATCATTTTTTCTAATCATACTAAAACAATTGTTTTTCTCTACTCACCTCAGTTTTTTTTGAGCGATATTCCCCTCTTCTTCGGCAAATAATTAAATATTGGAATTTTCAATTCCGTTAGATATTGGAACTTTCAACTGTAGGAAAAAGGCAAACCTTGTATAATGGAGACGAACTTTAGAACGCTAGAAAACCCCGCACCTTGCTGTAGTAGATAGCCTTAATCAATTACCGTATATTTTCTTTATTCCAAATATTAATTTTTCATAAACTGTTTTTGAAGAATTAGATCACACACTGGCGACGACATTCCTACTGTTGTACAATGTGCAGTTAAATTCCTAAGGGAATCAGGTAATTTATCATAATAATAAACTATGTTTTATAGACTATATACTATAAACTTTGAAAAACAGTCTCAGACCACATTAATTTATTTTTCTGCGATTTCTAAACAGCCGAACAATATACTTATTATACTGTATATATATACAATATTTTTGAAATTTTGCATGGTGGACTTATATCATCAAATTGTATATAATATAGCAAATACACGCAGTGTTTCTATACAAATTGATGATCCATCCCTTCACATCTGTATCAAATCGAAGCAAAAATCGTACTTTAATCGGTCTTTAGACGTCTTTCTAAAAATGCATGATTATTTTGTTTTACTCAAGGTTTAAAAGTTGAAGGTTTGTTCAGACGTTCTGGTAATGTCTCGGTGGTTAAAGGCTACGCAGAGAAATTTAATAAGGGAGAATTTAAGAAATTTAACGAGGAAGAAGATATTCACGTCGCTGCGGTTTTAATAAAGAGGTTTTTGCGAGAACTTCCAGAACCACTACTTACGTTCCAGTTATATGAAGATATTATGAGAATACATGGTAAGTTTAAACCTAATGTATGTAAAGGCCTAAAAATGTGTTCAAATAAGTCATTGCTAGTAGAGAATGAGCTACAGTATCTCGCTTGCATGTTTCTGTATAAAATTTACGTTAGTATATTCAATTGCCATAGTCCGAGACATTTGCAAAAATAGAGACAAGATGTTGCTGTCTAGTGCAACTTTCAACCAAGCATAATTGTAGATAAGTGAATCTGCATGGAAAGCAGCATCCACATGCAATTACCGACACTATACACCTTACGAGAATGCATGGAACTACACTTTACGCGAACCCATGAAGCTACACCTTACGAGAATGCATGGAACTACACTTTACGCGAACGCATGAGTCTACACTTTACGAGAATGCATGGAACTACACTTTACAAGAATGCATGGAACTACACTTTACTAGAATGCATGGAACTACACTTTACGAGAATGCATGAATCTACACTTTACGATAATGCATGGATCTACACTCTACGGGAATGCATGGAACTACACTTTACGAGAATGCATGGAACTACACTTTACGAGAATGCATGGAACTTACACTTTGCGAGAATGCATGGAACTACACTTTACGAGAATGCATGGAACTTACGCTTTACGAGAATGCATGGAACTTACACTTTACGAGAATGCATGGAACTACACTTTACGAGAATACATACATGGAACTTACTTTACGAAACGGCTTCTTATTACATTATTCTATAGCTTCAACGTTGCACGAAGAATAGGTTGTCCCCCTGTAAATTTTAACATTTAATAGTGAAAGTGAATATTCATAAATTGATAATGGAGATTATAACTCCTACTTGCCTGCAATTACAAGCAGTGCTCTTGTGATGTCAAACATTTTCCACAACAAAAAAATCGACGTTTTACCCCCAATATTTTGCACACAGGTTTATCTGACGAAGAGAAAGTAGGAGAGGTGAGACGAGTTCTTAGAGGTTCTCTACCACGACAGAATTACTTGGTGTTGAAGTATCTGATGGAGTTCTTAGTTCAGGTTTGTAAACTGTTTATTCTGGGTTCTCAAACTGAAATACGTCTGTCAATTATTTCTATATTAAACTATTCTTTGTTGTAATTTGTCTCCTATTGCATTGCCTGAAACGTACAGGAAAAACTTGAAATAAAGCTCGTGAACTAATTTAATTGTTTATATACTGTATTTGCGCCTGATATTTCTACCCAAATAGTTTTCAGTTTTAGGAATCTTGTTTCTCCCTAGCACCCGAAGAAAATCTGTAAAAAATACTATATCCAGTCAGCTGCAACACACCAGTGTTTCCTCAATTTACTTGCATATGACTGTCCTCATAGGGGGATGGCAATGACAAAAGAGAGAAACAAAGATCTTTTGATAAAATATTCTATCAAAATAGATCCCTCGTTTCCTTGTGGTTGCCAATTGCAAGGAAATTTTCTTGCGTTGTGGAAACTCTGCCAGAGGGCGAGAAAAGAAGTTAGCAACTACACCTCCGCAAACCCAAAATAAGGGAAAATTTTACTAAAACAGGCTTCACTGCTGCCAACCCACGACTTTATGTTTGATTGCACGTAGCTTATATGCAGACTGAATATGTGATTCACGAATTTGTTCTCGAGCAATGAAAACCATCCCACAACCAGTAAATTACATTGCCCGCCTCGTTTTCAAATTTTGTTTGCACTCAAGCAGAATTGCTTTGTAATAAGTTTCTATTCCTAGCCATTGCAACACACAATCACTCAGACCCTAGCCTGCATGGCGGACGGTCCTTAAAATCTACTCAGACCCTTTCTATAGAGTTCATATATTCTTGCTTCGATTTCGATAAGTATAGTTGCTATAACCATGCAGTATATATTATGAAATCAGTGCATAGTTTCACAATTCCTCTCTATTGTCATGCAGGTGATGAACAACTCTGACTTTAACAAAATGAACGCTTCAAACTTGGCAATTGTCTTCGGACCCAATCTCATCTGGGCTTCATCAGCCGTTGCATCTTTGAGTGCTATGGGACCCATTAACTCAGTAACGAAAATAATCATTGAAAATGTGCCGGCCATTTTTGAATGATGTAAATTAATGCACAATGTGCGTGTACGCGGATATTTAAACATTGCATTTTTGCAATAGTATTGTATAGCTATATTATACACGCATTCACATATAGGCCTAGGTAAGATAGATTTTACATATGTTCAGCCGTGAATGTCGGTGTCACATATATACTGCTTCTTGGTTCCAAGAAAGAATAAACTTAAAACTTTTCATCTTATCTGTGTTTGTGCAACCACAGAATTGAATAGCGGGTTTTGGCAAATATTATCGGTGCGATCGTACGAAAGCTGGATAACACCGGATTTATATCGCTCTTATATATAACTCAGTCTTTAGACTTTAGTTTTTAAATTAGAGATTTTCTGTATATTGACTAATTATTTGCTCCATTTCTATATAGTTTTATTGCTTTTCAAGCATTTTTTACAGCCGAAAACAGCAGTATCCGTAAACAGAAATAACGGTATCCAGCCTTTGTACAACCGACCGTGTCCAATAAGAGTCTCGTATACTTACAGTCAGCTATAATCGATATACTTCTCACAAAAAACTATTTTCACTGATTTTCCTTCTAATAATGAAGAGGACGCATCTATTAAATAATTGATTTATTCTAGCCCTTGATGCCCTTGATAACGGAAAGTGTTTAGCGAGACACACCTGAATATTTATATTGTCAGTCATTAGTGAACGGGTTAGTTATTTACACAGAATTTATACCTATTCCTTGATATTTACGTTCAAATTTGTTCACAAATGTGTGTAAATAATATTAGTTTTCTAATAAATAAATATAATTTGTATATTATCATGAAAAAACTAAGCATAACTAAACTATATATTAATGCTCATGTGAAATAAAAAGGTATTCTGTACATTGAAATTATACGGTTATACATCTTTTTTATCTGCTATTTTCATCTACTATTTTATATTATTTTTGTTTTCGGCCCTTGCGATAAAATGTCAAGTTTATACCTGGCCTGGGGCTGATAGCAACAGTACAATGCGAGAAAAGAAAGCACAAACTCAAAAAGCAGAAGAGCTTGGACTTTATTAAAGACCAGGATATCTTAGTTTCCATTCCGGCAGCATTCCAGCACAAGGAAACGGCAAATTTCAAATGGCAAATTTACAAATAAGGTGTGCCAAGATGGATGCAATATGAAAACGTGAACTGGAATAATAATTCAGCTGCCAGCTGATGTTGAGGGACCAGTGTCCGTTCATGTATTGGTTTTGTCAGCAAATTTGACAAACGACAAGAACAAAAAAGAACTGGCTCTAGTCCTCAATTCGACTACAGCGATGTGCTATATAAATATGCTGGAATATGCCAGTATTTTATATGAACTTCTGCGTCCCGGGCGGCGGGGCCGGTTGTACGAAAGATAATCTCAGCTTAGACGGTGGATAAGCCAAAATACTCGCATAGATCTTGTGAATTTCTGAACCTGCATCTTATAAATGAAGTATGTTCTTCCATTGAAAATTAAACTATTTACATCGAAATATTTCTGATCAGTTGCTCAATAGATAGATAATTTGGTTTTTTTTTCATTTTGAACCTATCCACCGCTAAATGACTTTCAAACAACCGGCCCCTGTTTTCTTTATCAGGAGTGAACAATGTTGTGCTGCACCCCATGTCCATGAACATTATTGTTAACAATGTTGTTGAACCTTGTTGAATCACCAATTTTGAGGTAATTTTACAACAATTTGCAACGGTATTGATGGTTCAACTGACAAATGTTGTTAACAATACTCTATCACAGGGTGCGGCATCGTTCTCTATGATTGTTTGTGGAAACACCACGTGAATTTAGTTTTACAGAGCTTTGGGTCCGTAAGCCTGGACCATCATTAGTGCAAATCAACTGAACGTTTCGTAATCACACGTACAGTATTTTTTATGTTACCGCTTACGGACCAAAAGCTCTGCAGAAACTAAATTCACTGGGTGTTTCCACAAACAAACGTACAAAATTACTATTTCCTCATGCGAACACTCAATTGAAAGAATTTACAACATTGTGCACTCCTGTTGTTATCAACTAGCATCAACATGATGATTTTTAGGCGTGCATAATTGTTTACGTTGCCGTTCCATTTTTAGCTACAGTGCCCCTCTATCTAATACTTTATGCTATAGTGCACTCAATTTCTTGTTCTTTCAAAAGGATTTGTTCAATAAAAAATTTTCATAAATTTGTCTCACGTAAAACAGCAAACCTGTTAAGATGCCAAAGGCTTTTGAAATACTCATTTTGACCTAACATGTAAACGATCTTATAATTATAGCGAGTGTTATGTGTGTTGTGCAAAACACACAACAATATATAGTTAATTTTCCTAAAGCACATTGATGACAACATTGAAGATGCTTTCAATAATCCACGTGGCTATATAGGATGGGTTTGGCCACGTGGCTATATAGGATTCTACATTACTCATCAGTAAAAAGTTAAGCCAGTGTTTTTGACTTCATACTAGTAGGGATTCTAACTAAATCCCTAAAATCCATCACAATCTGAAGAAAAAAATTAAGCTAAAAGTCCACAATATTAATGCAAAATGTACCTTTAATATGGAAAAGGTTAACTAGAGATCAAACTAATTAATAATATCTCAAAGCTGAGGCTATTACTATTAGGTACCATTACATGAACTGTGTTATAGCACTAATTTTTTTGCAACATGCAAGTAAAACAGAATTACAGAAAAACTAGATTAGCTTAGGAGTAAAAGTTTGTTGCTATATGTAGTGTTTCTTTAGGCTCTATATATAAAGTAGCAAATAAGCAAAGTTTTAAAGAGTTCGAAATCAAGCTTTTTGGTAGCCAAACTTTCCGGGTGATACGTCATCAAGGGAAGGTTTTTCCTGGGAAAGCTTGTTTGATTTTTTCTTGACCACTCGAAGAAGACAGTAAATCAACACAGCGATGACAATGAGCATACATCCAATGACGCTCAGTGAAGATATAAGAATGATGTTGGTGTGATCATCTTGACGGACTACTTTACTCACAGTCCCATCTTTGTTCACATCACCACCAAGATTTGGAAAGACACGTTCAACAACCAAGACATACTTTTTATTCAAGTGTTCATCAACAAATTCTTTCACTGTCTTCTCAAACTTCTCACATTTACTTTCACGGGCGCATTTCAACATTTCTGTACACATGTCAGGGAGCATGTCCGCCCATTTAGGAACTTTTGCTGCATCGCTATCATGGAAAGCATCACTAAGGTACCAGAAGTACCCTGTGCGACTCGTCACGCGACGTATTGCTGCGATGAGAACGAGATATTCACTCCAGGCCAGTTCATGGGGACAAAATGTTGTACTGAGTGGTGTAAATATGTGACCAGCGGCGTTGACAGCAGCATCGCATTCTGTAGCGAGTGTGTATAACTGTGTACTAACGGCCAGACCTTCATCTCCGTGGGGACGTACTTTCTGATCATCAACAACCATATGTTCCTTTGTAAAACCATTGTAGGTGGTGAAGTTTCGGGCGCTTTCTCTGGGGTAGACCGCGTCAACTCTGCACCAACCAGAAGTCTTCTCTTCTCCTCTGAGTCCACGAATAAAGTCACCAGCAGATAGTTCAGACACAGAAACAATTCCTTTCTTTAATTCTTCAATCTTCATGTCGCTCGAGACACAGTTATTGTTGCAGCAGTTGCTCCCACGACAGCTGCAACCACCAACTGTTCCAGGCAAAATGACAAACATGAACACTAGAGCAATCACTGAACGAGTCATGACGGAAGTTTTATACCCTGTAGGGAAATGGAAGCATATTAAAACGAAGTGATCTATTTCATAATGGTTTGTGTGGATTTCAGTCTGTATGTAAGGCAGTTGTAAAGCAAAATGACAAATATGAACACTAGATAAACCACTGAACGAGTCATGGCAGGAGGTTTCGAAGTTGAACATTGTTATTAAGTGAAAAAATTGTGCAGAAATAATCTTTTGAATATTCAGGGTTGCAAAAACTGGACAATATACAGTATAGCTATATTTATGTGAGCTCATTGCTAGCATGAGCTGGTGGCGAAGCGTGAACGAAAACTCGATCAGAGTTGGGTTGACTCTAAAAGATCCTCGGCTAACATTCAAGGCCGTTATTCAAATAAATCCGGTTCAAATGCAAATGTCGATCGGTTGTGAAATTGTGTTTCCATGTGCAGTATATATAGTGAAACTGTGAAAGTGTTAAACGAAACTAAACGGTTAACCTTAACATAGTTGCCTCATCTTACCTTGAAACAGTCTTTCTTTCCTTTTCATCCCAGAGCAACACTTCACACGAGTTGTTGTCCTAAATCTGTCTTTGAACAACAATATTAAAAATATATATATTAAGTCCCGTGCAACCTTATTTTCCGCATTCCTCTGCTATTAATATTATACTCCCACACAGGAATGTGTGTCATGGAAAATGTCAATGACACATAGAACGGAATCTTCTTGTCATCGGCGATATCCACCTTTATAATTATATGGTTCAAAATTGATCATGAGTACTATTTGCCGAGTAGTATTTGTGAACAGCTTAGAAAAGGTTGCACGCAACACATATCCGAGTAAAAGTCGCAAGCAATAGCAATGTTGCAAAGAAACCAAAGTTGCTGTGATTCAATTCTAATTCGTGCAATGCTTTCTGCAACAAAAATACGCCGAAACTGCGATTTTCTAGCTAGTGTTAGGATATAGACCCCACTGACCCTACACACATAACGTCACAGTAGACATTAATGAAATATGTTTATACACATAACTATTGAAGACACTTTGCTTCAAGACATGATTTTTGTTCCTTAACCACTCGCATAACAATCCTTATTCTTTTCAGTAAAGCATCGACACATCTGGAGGATTTTGACGTCAGGACAGTGAGCCAATACTGCTAACGGGAGAGGGAGGTGTTCAATAATGCATAACTAAGCATCCAAGTGCTGCTTTCCACTGTCGCTCTCCTTGCACGAACGTACACGCACGTAAAAGTTTAAAACCTTCTAAGTTGTCGTATATAATTAATCAACTTTATGCGAAAACACACCAAATCATCAATACGATCCAACCCTATGCATGCGTTCAACCGTTGATTTCAATTATTTCATTGACACTTCATTGGCAAATTATTAAACTTTTATAGACGTGCGTACATGTACGTCCAAGGGAATTAATCCCAAATTAATCCCGGAGTTGTTATTGTAGAAACCTAAGAGAATTAATCCCAGAGTTAATTGTTATTGACCCACTGATCCCACGCACATAACGTCACAGCAGACATTAATTGAATATGTTTATATACATGCATTATCTAGTGAAGGCACTTTGCTTCATGAGATGAGTTTTATTCCTTAACCACCTGGTGCATAACAATCCTTATTCTTTTCAGTAAAGCATCGACACGTCTGGAGGACGACTCTTGCATGAGGATTTTGACGTCAGGACAGTGAGTCTATAGTGCTAACGGTGGAGAGAGGTGTTCAATAATGCATAAGCATCCTTATAAGTGCTGCTTTCCACTGTCGCCCTCTTTCCACGTACGTACACGCACGTAAAAATTTGAAACCTTCTAAAAGTTGTCGTATAATTGATCAACTATATGCGCGGAAAACACACCGAATCATTCATTCAATCGTCGATTTGAATGATTTCATTGACACATCATTCACATCATCTAAATTATTAACTAATCCTAGAGTTGTTATTGTAGAAACCATTTCAGATCGTTTGTTCAATAAGTAATCTTTTTTTTGTCGGTCACATTAAACTAAAAATTTGTTAATTAATGTTCATATATAAATATAAATATAAGATCATACCCTCTAGAAGTAGATAACCATCCTCTATATAACATACCTGATCTATAACTTCACGTTCCAAATCAGATCTAAAGTTCTAAACTAAAGTGGATTATTATCGCACATTCTTGGATAATTATTATGACCAACTGATTATTTTTAAATGCCATTGGAAAGTCCCCCACACACGTATACGCGATTTCCAACTCGACGCAAATTCACAGTTTTTTTTTGAGGAATTGGATTCAATTCTGATAAGAAATTTTTAGAGCTATGGTCTCCAGACACGTCAAAATGTGATATCTTTAGATGATTTGGATAATATAAAAACATGACCAAAATTAGGGGCTAGGGGCCAATTGTTCAAAGTTAGGTTAGCGCTAACCTGGGTTAAATTTTCGGTTAAATCCAGTGTTTTAGTTTATGTGCTTCTGTGCACTGTTCGTTTTGAAACTTTAGAAAATATGACTTCTATCAGTACAGAAAATATTTATGAAAAAAGATATTCAACTTTGTAAACAAGCGATTTAAAAATTCAATGTAAAGATTTGCTTGAACCCAGGGTTAAGCTAACCGGCTTCTGAACAACCGGCCCTAGGACTGTTTTCCACTGTCGCGTTTTTGTACATATTTGTACGAAACGCATGTTGTAGAAGTCTATTATTATACGTTATAATTATGTGTGATGTATCATGAATGTGTACATGTGTTGAACAATATATTGACTTATAAAATTATTCATGGTATGTATTTAGAGTTGTATGTTAGTAAAGTGAACACTTAGGTAAATAATAAATAGATTTAGTAAAGGCATGCCAAAAAGAAAAGTAAGTTACAGGAAATTGGAAATATAGTTATTCGAGTATAATAGTTATGTTGTTCCTGTGTAGTTGTGCCAGTGCGTTATGCCAGAAAAAACTCTGTAAATTATGTGATAAAGTATTGAGTAAAGTAATAGTATAGGGTATTGATTGTTGAGTATAGCGTTGTTATGATCGCTGTAAAATATAAATTGAAAAACCAACGTGTTAGTTGTGAATCAGCGTGTGCAGACAAATTCGCTGAACGAATACAGTGAATTCTGCGACAACGCACGAAAGAGTTTTATCATGATCAAATCATTTAAAAGTACTTATGAAAACAAAGATTGAATAGATGCATGCATATGCATGCAAAAAACGCGACAGTATTAATTTTTTACAGTATTTATTTATTTATATCAAATATATTGAACAATGTTCCAACAGAGAAAGTGCAAACGGACACGAGGTCCCATGCGAGGTCGATATTCTTCCGATTCCATCATACAAAAACAAATTACACGCCGGCAGAAGAAAGTCAAGAAACATATATATAGCTACATGCAGTCATGCATGTAGAGATTACTTCATGGTTGGGGAAAGCGTACGATTTTTGTGCTAACGAGCCAACCATGAAGTAATTTGTTTATTAAATGTGTATAGAGATCAATAATTTTTGACAACGACACACTTTTAATATACAAAAACACAGCGAGCAACAAAAATCGAAATTTTATGCATGAAAACATGTTTATTACCGTTTCTTTGTAATTGAAATTTCAGTTTCTTTGTAATTTTGTTCAATAGAAGTCATATATTCTTTCCGAAAGATTTGAGAATGTGCTGAATGGGAAAATATTTTGAATATGAGAATTATGTTTTGAATCTCACTCCTATATTTCGGCGCCATCTTGAAAGAAAATGTGAACAAATTGCCAAATGGAATAAGCTGCAGCCAATTTCACACCCTAAGAAATAAGCTACAGCCAAATCGACACATTTTTTTCTCCGTCAGTGAAATCCTTTTTGGCATGCATGCAAAGTATTTTAAAGATCCGTTTATACTACAGTCAATTCATTGGCACGGCACGGTCGGGCAAGGATAAAATGGGCACGGGTACAATTGAGTGTAGACGTGTAAACAGGGCTCAAAACTGTAGTAAAGAGCCTGCTCATGCATGATGTGATCATAGTGAGGTCATGCTGTTATAGAGAGAATTTATTTTTGAGTCACATTTACGTCATAAATGCGCATGCTCAGGGTTTTACTTGCAGCGAGCAACGTTTGGTCGAGAGCGAATCACGCAAGAGTGACGAAACTTTGATGTCGCCAGCGCGACCCTCTGCAGAGTGTTATCTCATGGGAAATAACAACTATTATCCATTTGAATTTATGTCTTTTATGAATAAATATTTCGTTGTTTAGTTTTTCTTTGACAAGTGGTATATAATAAAAAACTTATTTACCGAAAACTCAGAAAACATTATGTTTTGTGGACTCTCGACCATCGATATAATTTCGACAGGTCTCGGGTCCACAAAATATAATGTTTCTTTCGTTCGCAGTAAATAAGTGATAAATATTAGCTAGCTGTTAAAATATGAGTCTTGTGAGTTGTGTCAAATACTCATACTGCACACTAGTATTGTTGATAAGTTGTTTCCTTTCCGTGATAATTATTGCTGTCTGCAGCATGGAAACTTTATTAAGTAATAACGAGGTAAAGACGCATCAATATTTTGTAATTATATTGATCAACATACAAACCTATCCTGAAGATACAGAAAAATGGAAACTGGTATATTCCGTTGAAGACGCTTGAAATACATCTTTGCAACCCAGCAGATTTAAAACGTCTCTGTGAAATGCAAAGGCGGCAGATGAAACTGAATGCATAGGAGTTGTGTATAAAATAGAATGTTCGCAAAGTTAATATTGTGCTATGTCGGCCAAGCAAGTCGTCATTTACTCAACCGTATTAAGGAGCATCGAAATAAAATAACTCTTGTGGTAAGTCACTTTGAATCATGTAATTGCATTTTAACATTGGATGATGTAAGCATATTAGCAACATATTGGCGTAAGGTATATTATTATGTTTTGCGGACCCTCGACCATCGATATTTATCGACAGGTCTCGGTTCCATAAAATATGTTTCCTTCGGTCGCATGTAGTAAATAAGTGTTATTTTTAAATAAAGTACTAAAAATCCAACAATAAATATACACATAGAAAGACTCTCTGTTTTCTCCTTCGACAAGTTTGGCTAATGTTTTAATGTGTTTGATTAAGAGAATTATGTAAACGATTATTACTATCATGTGCACGGTTTCAATTTCACACGAGGAATGACTACTATATTCCAATAAATAATTAACAAGCAGCAAAAACCACATAAACCCCATATTGCCCGATAAAAGATGCAACCAAAATTACAAATTTTTTGAATGATTTATATATAGTTATATACTCAATTTAGTTTGTATTGAATATACTAATTCAGTAGTAATATCAATAGCCCTTTCTGTTTTCTGTCTCATTTTTTAAGGTAAAAACGTAACAATGCATGTCGACGTCAAAAGAAAATGTTTGCTTACTGGCTTCATATGTTTATTATATTTACGGTACGATAATAATTCGCAATCATTTTATTCAGTGCAAAATTCTGGTTTTGTAGATGTTCACATTTTTATTATTACTATAATTATGCAAGTGCAATAGGCAACCATCTTAAATTCCAGTTTCATCCTGATTTTTGCAGTCTTTTTTCCCTTTATTTAGATGACTATAAACATGGTCATCATTTTTGTCTTTCCCACTCTTTTTTAGAGCTGTATACGTCGACTGTTCATCTTCCACTTGTTCATAATTGTTGACGTCATCTTTTTTTGGATTTTCATATATATCACTCAAATTGTGGCTAGCCTTCTCCAAACTTTTCATGGTGCTGGATGATTTGAGACGACGAATTCGGTGAAAGAGAAGAGCGTTCATAACCAGTGAAAAAACGACGAGAATTATTAAAACTATAATTCCTACAAGGTGATTTCCAAAACTTCCGCAATCTGAAATAAAAAGTGATATAGAGAAGAAAAATTGAACAATAAAATATATATCAAACCGGATTCCGACCAAATTCTTCATAGAACAGTCAGTGTTGAAATCTATTTGAAAAGGGAAATTATATACCTGTAGGTTTTTGTACAGAGACTGTATAAGTTGTGCTTTGAAATCGATCATGAACATGACAAATATATTTGCCAAAACTTTTTTCGCCTTTCACTGTTACAACAAGCAAAGAACTACGATGAGGCATGTCCTTTACAATGAACCCACCAAGCGGCGTCTGATCTTTTTCCCAGCTGAATGTAATTGGTGGTTCACCTTGAGCAGAACACAGCAGGTTGACAAGATCACCTTCCTTTCCTATTACGTTACCACTGGACATGTTTGTCAGCACATGAGGACTACCTGTCATGCGAAGAACAAGTATTAACGATAAAAACAGTATTTAAAAGCTATCTGCTCTAAATTTGAATAATGTATTTATTTATGACTAACGGTGCATTATTATCCCATGATATATACCTGTGTAGTCTGTGGTACTTGAAGCTGGACTCCAGTCTGTGGAGTAGAAATCATTCTAGGGAGAGTTGAGCAACAGAGCATTAACTATTTGAATAGGATGTTTTCAGCTTTTCTTTTTAGGGAAACGTGTGCGGATATAAGAGCGACATCCTATTTTCTACCTTTTCATTAAGTATAACCCTTTGAAAAATGCTGTATCTAGAGCCAGGTTCCAGCGGACCATTATAATAGCCACTCGCAGCTGATCTGCGCTTTCGTGATGTTGGATCACTTGTATTCTTACCATCACCAAGTATAAACATGTGCTCATCGATATCGCTTGGCGTAAATACTGCAGCGATATAAGGTTTCGGGTCAGCTGACCTTCTTGCCTCTGCATACGTCACCAAGTTATTGTTCATAAAACTGTCAGTTGATTCAGGCTCTTTACCGTTTTTTAATTTTAGGGCCACAACATAAAGATACCTAAAAGTAAACAATTGAAAAATACCAGAACAAAATGTATCAAGATCCTATATAGTAGCAGTATCAGCCATATTCTTCAGCTTTTTCCTTGACGTTAAATAAAAGTTGCAATGCTGGGATGGAATTCACAAGCAAAGTATTAAGCACATTTGGTGTGTGTTCTGTAAAATATGTACAGATTTTATCAAAACCGCTGCCTGGATATCGCAGGCTTTATACTCACGCAAATGTCCCTGGTATTTCCAGTGAAAATGTTAGAGTACTTGATGTCCCTTCTATCGCTTTTTTTGTGGGTTCTGCATGAAAGAAGAAGTTGATTAGGGTGTTGGGTTTATATTCTTTTTATAGAAATCCCTGCATGTCTGGACTTTAAAACATACAAATATATCGCTTGTCCTGCGTTATGTATTTTTTTACTTACTTCCATTTGTAAAAAACCCTTTACTTTCACTGTAGTTTCCATGACCAGCTTTGGTACTGGCTCGAACACGAATGTAATATTTAGTTGACGAATTTAACTTTCGGACAATCCAATATCTTTCACTGGTTGTAATTGTCTGAAAACAACCCCCTTTTCCCGATGGTAAAACACACACAGTATAACCAATAATTACGCCATTTTGTTTACTTTCTTCAGGAGGATCCCAAATGAAAGACAAAGATGATGTACTTCTTGATGTGGTTTTAATGTTTAATGGAGGACCACTTGGTGCTAAAGAACAAAAAAAGGTTCGTAGCTATATAATTAAAAAATAACATTATTTTATAAAAGTTTAGGTTTCTATATTTAATTATGTCGATAAACGCAAAAAGAGACAACAAGTCCCTTACAATTTCAGTATGAACTTCCTAAACAAATTGATTTTGTTTAGTTTCCATCCAACTTGTTTAGGCTTCAATGGCGCGTCAACAACACGCCGACGTGAATAAATTTACGCTCTCTATATATATTATGTTTTATATACATTGTTTTATATTAATTCAACTCTTGCCTTCTTCCGATGTTAGGAACGACGTGATTTTCTCATCTCCAATACCTTTCACATTACCAGCAGCTACGGATAACACGTATCTTGTGTACGGAGTGAGATTACTTAGTAGATATTCTGTAATCTTTCCTGTGGTAGTATTCAGAATAAGGGAGTTATCTTTCTTTAGTCTGATTCTAAACAGTGAGACACCATAATATCCTTCATTTTCAGGACCAATCCAAGATATTTTAGCATTTCTAGACTTGATGCTTGTGACGGTGAGGTTTCTTGGTTGATCTGGAAACACGGCTGAAAGATGAATGATGCAGTTTTGGATACGCTTCCATAATAACATACCTCTATAAACTAAGAATATTAGATCGTATAAAGTGAACTTACTGTCAACACAGATTTAAATGCTTAGCTTGCATAGTTGACCTTCATAATGTTCATATGATAATGCAATCAATCGTAAACTTGGGGCAAGATTTTAAATGGTAAACTTGTATACGCACCACATTTTTTTTCAAAATCTTTACTGCTATTAGAGCATTGATATTCAAAGTAAAGATAGTTTTTCAATCCAGGACACAAATCATCAGGGAACAAGGTTTCATCCACAGGTATGTTACACTCATGTTGACCATCACAATGTTTCTTAACAAGACATGTTACATCAACTGTACAATTATAATCATCACTCAAACCACATGTTTTTGAGTCAGACAATCCACGGTAAGATGCAGTCTTGACCACCATGTACTGATCTTTAGGGCAGTTGATATTGCCTACCAACTCTCCGTAACATGTCACCGACCCTAAAACGATATACTTTTAATTTTTTTGTCTCGTTTTCATTCTAAAGGTTTGAAAGATTAGATTTTTGAAACTAATAAAGCGTTCAGGGACCTGGATCCTGGATATTTATTTCCGTTGCCTTGGTATGGGATTGAGACATTAGAGTTTATAGGATTTCCAGAAAGAGAAGATATGCATTTTGCAAAAACTTACCAAAAATGAAACGTTTATCCTCAATGTCATCACAATCTGTTGTCAATCCAATGTAGGGATCAATTCCATAATGTTGATCTAGATGTTTATTTGTTTTAGGGACTGCACACCAGGTCTGAAATGAACCCTTATTATATCCTTTATAATATATCGATAAACCTCCCCAAGACGTCTGAGTTATAGGACGATAGATATCCCTTTCAGGGTCATACGCACAGGCAGAAACATCTAATTCTATTGATGTAGCGGGAACGTAAAGGTAAAAAATATTTTGATAGAAACCAAAATTATTTTTAGAATAAGCAGCGAGACATCCTTTTCTCTTAATGTTGAACATGGCGCCATTATCACGAAACCGAAACTGAGCAGCTTTGTCGAAACACGAGTTGCTAGAAAGTTCCAAAAAAGACAAGCTACCCCAAAGTTGGCCAGAATGTTTCACAACTCCTGTGTCGTTAACACACATCCCTGTCTTAACATGTTTCACAAAGAAACCAGCGACTCCTATAACAAAAGAAATTTTCGACTCAAGAACATTTTATGGTGTGAGAGATCGTAATTAAATAATATTTTATCAACTTACTTTCCCCGCAGATCTCAATTCTCATACAAGGTTGACCTTCATATGATAATGGAATAAACTGTAACGCTCTTGCTTGTATGCCATTTAAACTTGTTATGGCTGCGTCATTACGATTCTTGTTTCCCTGAATTATCTAAGATAATAAAGTGTAATTAATTGGCAAGAATTCTATAATATAAGTTGACGTTACGTTGAAACTTAATATTTTGATTTTTAGCTACTACCTTTTGAAACCCAGCGACCTGAAATTGTTTCCAGTTTATCAAGTCAGTGGTATAATTCAAGATATACGTCTTCACCCATTTCGCACTAGTACCGTCGCCAAATGTTGCAACATCATATATCAAATACAGTTTTTTAAAATCCACTTGAAGATAATGTTCACCATCTGAGACAGGAGCACACCAAGAACTACCACTGGATATCCTTGCATCAGAAGCTCTGTTATGTTCTGAAGAAACTGAGGCATTGAATGACGAATCAGAAAATCTTTCTTTATCTCCTAACAGAGGCTTGTTACAAATATGACCTAAAAACGGAGACAGCATGAATTGCTTATTACCTTTAAACTTCTACGTCATATTTTCATTTCCACTCCTTTAACTGTTTTCTGATATCTCATCTTATATCTTTAAAACTTACATTTTATGTATGACAACTGAGAACAACTTGAGGCGGTAACTGTGAATGAACAGTAAGATAGGTCGTTGTCGTCATCATTGCAGTTTATGGTTCCAGAAAACATTTCATCCTTAGAATCTGGTAGAACCGGCGTATTAACAACAGAGTCTGCTCTTTTGTATCCCATTTGAACGCAAACAACATCATTGGCTTTGTTTGTTAAACTTCCTGCACAAACACTCCTGGTCCAATTATTCGCTGTAATTTGTACAATACCTTCGTTTGGCAAAGATGAATTTGATAAAGATATGCCACGAACTACAAGACAAGAAAATCCTTGAAGTAAATCGGAAAACATGATAAAATATTTTGTGGTCTTGATTTCGTATGACATTTTTAGTGCTGTGTTTATATATAATCATACTCACTACACATATATATATATATATATATATATATATATATATATATATATATATATATATATATATATATATATATATATATATATATATATATATATATATACATACCGCAAAAATTGCTAAAAGGTTTCACATCATTAAAACATCGGTATTCAAAGTAAAGATATTTTTTCAATCCAGGACACATATCATCAGAGAACAAGGTTTCATTCACAATTATATTACATTCATGTTGACCATCACATTGTTTCCTAACAAGACATGTTACATCAACTGTACAATTATAATCATCGCTGAAACCACATGTCTTTGAGTCTGACAATCCACGGTAAGATGCAGTCTTGACCATCATGTACTGTTTAACATGTCCTGGGGAAGAGCTGGCCTTAGGACAAGTGGCGTTCCTCACCATCTCTCCGTAACATGTCACTGAACCTATTAATTTAAATAGTATTTCCTACAGTTAATTTGACTGTGAAATTATACTTTAAGATATAATTACATTGTTTGTGCTGTTTCTTATCGAAAGGAAAGAAATATCCTTGTCTATCATTCATTTCCGAGAGCTGTGCATCTCTGTTTGCTAGCATAAGGTACAGTGCATCTAATTTTTTCTCACAGCCAAATAAAACGGCACATATAAGAGCAGTGAAAACTACATATTTTTTAGGCACTTCTTGTCTCCTAGTGGTAAAAATGGTATTGGTAAAACAACGGGAGTTTCGGGGCTGCAAAATGGTCTGTAACAAACTTACCAAAATTAAACCGTTTATCATCATCTTCGTTACAATATTTCGTCATTCGAATGTAAGGATCTATTCCTTCTTTTCTAAAGGGACTATTTGACTGAGGGACTGCACACCAGGTTTGAAATAAGCTATCTTTGTAGCCTTTGTAATATGTGGATAAACCTCCCCAAGACGTCTGGGTTATAGAACGATAAGAGGCACAAGCAGAAAGGTCTAAATTGTCGCTGACGTAAAGATAAAGCATATCATGTTTTTTGCCTTTACCATACTTATAAGCTGCATAGAGACATCCTTTTCTTTTTAAATTCAACATGGCGCCATTAGCACGATTACAGAACTGAGCAGCGTCGTCTAGACAGTTGTTGGAAAGTTCAAGAAAAAGAACTTCTCCCCAGTTGCCACTACTTTCTAACACTGTTGTGGCGTAAATACACTTCCCTGTCTTCACATGTTTTAAAAAGTAACCAGCAGCACCTGGAAAAATTTAAAAATAATTTCGGTAGCAGCCTTAGAATAAGGGTAAAACGCGGAAGCGGAAAAAGGGGTGAAACAGGGCAGCGGAAAAAAGAGTAAAACGCGGAAAATGATTATCTTTTTACGAATTGTTATGTAATTTATATTACAGTATATGGCGTCGTTTAAGAATGTTAATTATGACTTTCTGCTAATGTACTTGTTGTGTTCATAGACTGGGAAAACAATCAATTTCTAAAGACATGAATAATTATAATAACTCGAAATTTACATAGCGGGAAAAAATCGTCCCGATTTCAACTGAAATTAGGACAGTCTCATTCGGGATCGTTTGATCATCCGCAACGGCATTCAAAACAATAGTATCCGAAAGAGACTGTTACAAGACCGGAAGTTCACCCTCAAATCATGTATTGATATATGCCAGGCACAAGAGGAGATGGTGCAGTACACTCGCAAAAGACCAACAGAAGACAGCAGGAAAGTTGGGCACACTAGAGAGGGTAAAGAAGTGGCACAGAGATCAGTACCTCGAAACCCGTGCAAATTCTGTGGAAAAGTTCATGCAATGAAAAAAGAGGATTGTCCGGCCCGGGGCAAGACCTGCAAGTCATGCATGTTATGGAAAGAATCACTTTGCTACTGTTTGTAAACATCGTAACAAGGCAAAGCAGCCAGTGAAACTTGTGCAATTCCAGCTGGACTGGGGGGCTACCGTCAACTTAATCCCCCTTGATATCTATAAATCAATTACTAATGACCCAGCCCTCCAGCACCTTGAGAAATGCAAGACTCGGTTAACTATGTTTAACAAGTCAGTGATGACCCCACTAGTGCAAAGAACAATGATAACTGTGAACCAGAAGAGTCGTGAGAGCTATCGGGTAGACTACCTGATGGTAGGATCTGCATGGATTCATACTTATTCTTGGGCTCATGACTCTCAACACCCATAAGATAATGCCAGTGAAATCTGCATCTTCCAGTGCTCTGAATTCCCTCACCCGCTGTGATATTCTTCGCCAGTACAAGGATGTCTTCAAAGGGCAAGGAAAGTTTGCTGAGGAACTTCATCTACAAGGGGATGAAACCATTTCTCCTGTGCAAATTGCTGCTCGGAAAGTGCCACTTGCTATGAAAGGTCAAGTTATAAATAAGCTGGATCGCCTAGAACGGCTGGGAATTCTGCAGCCAGTTTCTACACCTGCAACTTGTGTCTCCTCAATGGTCGCTGCTACAAAACCGAATGGTACCATCCCATTACGTCTAGACCCCAAACCCCTTAATCGTGCTTTAAGGCGAAACCTTTACCAACTTATAACTATTGATGTCCTTTTGCCCGAGATTTCCACTGCTAAAGTGTTCACTGTTGTTGATGCAAAAAACGGTTTCTGGCATGTACCCTTGGACGAGGAGAGCAGCTAACCTTTTCTACACCTTGGGGTCGCTATCTTTATCAACCCCCCAGCTCCAGTTTAGTTACAGCGTCGTATGGAGCATGTCCACAAGGCTAACCTGGAGTGAAACCAATTGTAGATGACATTTTGATATATGAGTGTGGATATACCCTGGAGCAAGCGGTTAGAGATCATGATTCTAAGCTCCTTTTCCTTTCGTCTCGGTGTCGGAAACAAGGCATTCAGCTGAATTCTGACAAGCTCAACCTCCGTTTCCCAGAAGTTGAATTCATGGGACATGTGATTATCGCCCGGGAACTGAAGCCAAATCCCGCTAAAGTAGAGGCCATCCACAAGATGCCAAGTCCCACCTGTAAACAAGATGTTCCACGATTAATGGGTACCATGAACTACCTCCAGAAGTTTCCTCCCAATCAACCAGGCATTACTGCTCCAATGCGCAAGGTACTCAAGCAGGATCATTTGTTCCAGTGGGATGAAGATATTCAAATTGCATTCTTCAATAAGTCTGATCAAAGATCTGCTGTCACAAGGAACAAGCTCCTTTCCTCAGGTACTTTGACCCAACTCTAACCCTAGAGCTACAATGTGGTGCCTCCCAGACTAGTCTTGGAGCATGTTTAATGCAAACTGGCCAACCCATTGCTTATGCATCGAGAGCCCTGACAGAGATCGAATCTCGATATGCCCAGATTGAGAAAGAACTATTATCCATCGTTTTCCATCGGCCCGTGCGCTTTGAACAGTATGTCTATGCCGGGACGAAAAGTCAAGGTGGAGACGGATCATAAACCTCTTGAGACGATTTTCAAGAAGAGTCCTCTTTCTGCTCCGAAACGACTACAGAGAATGCCTCTACGCCTCCAGCGTTTTTACCTAGTTGTAGATTATATACAAGAAGGGTACACAGATGTATGTTGCTGATACCTTAAGCCGAGCTTATGTCCCAGCAAAGCCCAACACGACAGCCTGTTAGGACGATGTTCCTACAAACCGATGAAACCCAAAGTGAAACGGCGAAAGATGTTGACTGCATTAATATGGTTACCTCGCTTTCTGTCTCGAAAAGCACACTTTCCGCAATACAGCGAGAAACAAGAGTGGACAAAGACCTACAAGCTTTAAGGAACATCATCTCCCGGAGAGTTTGAAGCCGTATTATCCCTTCCGTAGGGAGTTGACTACTCAGAATGCTCTGATTTTTAAAGGAGACCTCCTTAGTAATACCTTAGACAATCTATAAGAGAACATGCAAGTCCGGATATACATTCCATCACATTGGGATACAAGGGTGTTTACGTCGTGCCCGTGAGACCATTTACTGGCCTAGTATGAACAAGAACCTGACCACCCACATCTCCAAATGCGCTACCTGTAATGCATACCTGATTTAACAGCCAAAAGAACCACTACATACTCATACGATTCCTTCTAGACCCTAGAAGAAAGTTGGTTGTCGACCTCTGTTATCTAATCTATCTAATCACAGTTAATTCTTACTCAACGTTCTTTGAAGTGGATCGGCTACAGACCAAGACTGCCCCAGAAATTGTTCTCAAACTGAAAGCTCATCTGGCAAGACATGGTGTTCCAGAAAAGCTCGTTTCAGACAATGGCCCACCGACTCTGCCCAATTGCCGATTTTGCTAAGATGTATGGCTTTCTCCACCACACAAGTTCCCCATGATTCCCACAATCCAACGGAATGGTGGAAATGCAGCGAAGATTGCGAAGAATCTAATGCTCAGGGCAATCCATTCCAAACGCGATTCATATTAACTCTCTTGGATTGGCGAAACACACCTAACGAAGGCCTGGCCACCTCCCAGGTGCAGAGAATGTTTGATCGGCGTTCCCACACTCTCTTGCCCACAACATGAAAGCTGTTGGAGCCCGAGCTTCAACTTGATGTAAAAACCCGACTAGCGAAACAGAAGAACAAACAACGTGAGTACTACAATCGTGGTGCCCACCACCTTAAGGAACTGAAACCAGATTATGTGGTGAGAAAAAACCAGCACCTACAATGAAGGAAAATGCAGAATGGATCAATGCAAAAGTCAAAGGAAGCGTTGGTATCCGCTCATACAATTTGGTTACGGAGGAAGAAACGGTCTTTAGAAGGAATAGAATGCATCTGAGACACACCAACGAGCAATTTGAATGTGATGACGAGGAACTGGTATTTCCAGTCACAGAGAATGCAAACAACATTCCACAGCCACAGGCCGCAGAGATTGGTGGATCACAACGCTTGATCAAGAGATTCAGCCGGTGGTACCAGAGAGACCATACAAGACAAGAACTAGAGGAGGCCGTCTTATGTCTAATATATGTGTAATGTCTTATGTCTGTATGCTTGACGCCTTAGCTTGCTAATATGTATTAGTAAAAACACATTACTCACCATCTTGAAACAACAAAACAAATATCGCCGCATCGAATTTGTAGCATATGATTAGCATAAAAGATCAGTTAAACAAGGTTCGAAATATATTGAGAATTACAGATATAGCTAAATTACATAATGATATTATTATTATTATGTAAATTAGCTATATCTGTAATTCTCAATGTATTTCGAATCTTGTTTAATTAAGGTTCACGCTCGCCGCTCAGCAACGCTTTCTCGCGTTTTACCCTTTTTTCCATGTTTTACCCTTTTCTGGGTTTTACCCTTTTTTCCGCGTCTTACTTTTTTCCCGAACGAATCACCATGACGAATAGACAATGTTTGAGTAGCCAATATAAATGTAGAATTTGTATTAGACAATAGTCGGGTGTATACTAATAAGGTATAGCAAGCTTGCAATTTTCAACATAATTCTACTAACTATGCGAACTCTTTGTAATTCCGCTGCCATAGCAGAGAGTAAACAAATAAAGAGCAGGAACTAGGTGGCGAATAGTAATTATAATATATTTATATATAGTATAATACTATAGTATATAACTGAAGCAGTTTAAATTTTGTTTCCGAGTTACTATTTCTTTGTAGTAAGTAGCCTACTGGCTTTAGATTTAGCTTTAGTGCATTCAAACTGTATAACACAAACTTTAACAGCAGTTTGCCAAGAGACTACTTCATGGTATGCATTGAAAATACTGCAAAATACTGTTTAAAAATAATGCAAAATACGCAATTTAATCCGTCAGGCTGGAATCATTAACACAATATTTTAACAATTAAAATATTTGAGTACATACTGTACACTAGTATCAAAGATAGGTTGTATAGATACAAAACATACTGTACACTAATATCGTATAAATGGCTGACTGCATGCAAACTTCCTTAAGTTATAACGGGGTAAAGACGAAATCAATATTTCCAATTATATTGAACAAGATGGAAAATAGTACTTAAAACTTACCCGGAAGACAAAGGAGAATGAAAATGAAAACTGCTAAATTCCGTTGAAGACGCTTGAAATACATCACTTCAATCCAGCAGATCTATAGGACTCTGTGAAAGGCAAAGGCGGAAGGTGAAACGTAATCATTGTAGCGAAGATAAACATTCAGAAAAACTCAGTAGGACATCGGAATGTCTACATTCTGAATCAAGCAATAACTATACATGTAGAAAAACTTTCTGTTTTAATTTCTCCTTCTTCGCCAAGTTTGCGTTTACCGTTTGTACATGTGTTCACTTTGGTGATTAAAATGACCCAGTTACCAATACAATGTATTTGAATGAGAGAAGTATGTAAAAGATTACTTATGTCTATTGTATTTGCACGGTTTTCACACGATGAATACATTCCAATAAATAATTGCCAATAAAAATAGTTTATAAGGCACGATATTAACATGTTACAACACTACAAACCACATAAATCCCATATTGACCGATAAAAGACGCAACCAAAATTACAAATGCTTTGAATGATTTGTAGTTTTATGTTCAATTTAGTTCGTATTCAATATATGCTAGTTCTATTTTGTCATCAGCCTAAGTCGTGCGACGTTGTACGAGAGAGAGTGGAGCGCACGCGCCAATCAGTTGTGTTGCAATGGCTGTTTATACTTTCAACTGTTATGTAACAGCTTCAAAATTGTTCTTGCAAGATGGTAAAGAAATTGCATCAGCAGAAGGTACCACGCAAGGTGATCCGTTAGCCATGCCGTTATTATTATGCCGTTGCCATTACTTTACTCCTGCTCAGGATTAAATCTGATGAAGCTAGTGATATAAGGCATGTTGCGTATCACGGGTGACCTTGGTGGTGCAGCGGCGGTAAGCTAATGCAACTGCGTGCCTGCTAATAAGCGTGGTAAGACCTCTCAACCAGCTTCAGAGAAAGCACCAAAACATGCTTCAGAGAAGCACTAGATAACGCTTCAGAGAAAGCACCAGAAATCGCTACACGTCAAATTCAGATTCAAGATGAGCCGATCCTTATCGATCGATTAAGTCCATGCGGTCATTGATGATTTACTTAAGCCCACTGATGCAGTTTTAGAGGAGCATGAAGAGCATGAAGATCTCCTTGCAGTTTTAAATGAGTCCTTGAGCCCTTCAGTTTTAAATGAGTCCTGGTGAAGCGGGGCCCCCTGTTTCTGAGCGATTGGCTAATTTAGTGAATGAAAAATTCACACTTGATTTAATTTACAGAAACGTAAATCTATAATGAAGAACTACAAGACCCCTAAGAATCGTGATCAATTCCTCTCTCCACGGGTAACCCCTGAGATTTGGGGTAAGTTGCCAAGTTCAGTAAAGCGTTCGGATATTAAAGCCTCTGTTTTGTAGGATATCTTGCTTAGTGTATTCTCTGCTATTGTCAATACCATGGAGGGGTTGCTTGACAGCAAAGAGAAGAAAGCTCTTCCAAATTATAAAGCACTTTTGTCAAATTTGACCGATTCTATCGCCCTAATGGGGCATGTGCACAAAGAGATATCCTTTAACCGTAAAGATGCACTTCGATTTCACCTCAACCCAGAATTTAGACAAGCATGCTCCGGGATGATCTTTCCAAGACCATCCAATATATTCGGGCTACAAACAAGATTGTCAATTCGGTGTCCCAGGGAAACCTTCCCAATCGATTTCAATGTCCTCAGGCCTACCAAACTACAGCCCGGAAGCCTTTTTTAGGCCAACGGGGAAGGGAATATATCCACACAGGAACCACTTCCATCAAAGGTTTCGATCGTCAACAACAGATGTCCTCTGCCCCACTCAGGAAGAAATCCATGAACATCCCACGATTTTAAAGTCCCAGCCGCAGGTAAATAGTTTTTTTGTTTTTATGGCAGCCCATTTAAATTATATAATAGGACAAGCGTGTCAGTTTTCCAAGGGGGCAGTTGTCTTCTTACCATTCCGAATGGGCTAGATTTACTTCAGATAGCTCTATACTTGAAACAGTTTTGGGGGAGAAATTAGACATCCTCGAGATGCCTTTTGCATCATCGCCCACACCAAATAGCATTTGTATTTTTGTAAGGAGCACTATGCCTTAGCTGATGCCGAAATTCAAGATCTGCAGGCAAAGAGGGTTATTATAGAATGTAACCATGAGGCAGGAGAATTTGTCTCTCCTGTTTTCACTGTGCCAAAAAATGATAGCAAAGTCAGATTGATACTGAACCTAAAGAGATTAAACCAGTTCATAACAAATTTCTATTTTAAAATGGAAGGTATCCAAACCATAATGAAATTGGTTACTAAAAATTGTTGGATGGCCACATTGGATTTAAAGGATGCTTATTATAGTGTCAAGGTAGACCAAGCTTACCAAGTTGTTCAAGTATGTGGCCCTCCCTAATGGTTTGGCTACACATGTCCTAGAAAATTTACCAAACTTATGAAACCACCCCTGGCTAAGCTTAGAGCTATGAATCATATTATTAGTGGGTATATTGATGACTTCTATCTGCAGGGTGATACATATGCTAAGTGTGCCACAAATGTTCTTGACACATTTGACCGCGAAGGTCCATCCTGATAAGTCGGGCGCTACTTCCCCCTCTCAAGAGGTGATTATGCTAGGATTTGTCATTAACTCAATAACAATGACTATCCAAGTTACAAGGAGAAAAAGGAAAAGATTAAAAATTGTTTGCATGACGTTATGGAATGTCCTACAGACATTCCCATCTAGCAGATAGCCAAGTATATTGGTTCAAACTTTTGGTTTGTCATGTCTGCAGCAGCTACAACAACGTGGCTACTCGTTAAGATCCATAAATATCATTAAATCTTCTTCGAGAGACAGCACGAAATCTCAGTACCTGGTCCATCTACAGAAATGTTTAAAATTTTGTATGGAGAGACAATGTGATATAATCTCCCCTCCCTTAATTACCACGGACGTTAGATTTTCTGCCATCGTTGTTAGACGCGGGTTTGTTATATATTGCTCAATCCTCGGCGAGGTGTGCTTTATCTTTTGTTTTGCAGTTAAGTGATAGTGAGGTCACTTTCGGACAACTGCCAATTGTTAGGCGTTTAATGAAAGGGGTAATTGAACTGCTCCCGGCTCTACCGCGTTACGAGACAACATGGGATGTTAGCAAGGTCTTAGGCTTCTTTTCCACTCGTTGTAAAATCAACTGGTAAACTCGCTGCGAGTGCTTGCATCTAATTAAGATAGACTGACAAGCACTGTGATTGGACGAAACTAGTTGCGATGAGTGGGTGAGAGCCTTTAGAGTTTTTTCGAAGGCAGCCTATGCCTTTCGCGCTGACTTTGAAGGTCCTTACTGTAAAAGTTTTCTTCTTATTGATCTTACTAAGTGGACAACGCTGTCAAACTATTTATCTTCTCACTGTTCATAGCACGATTCTCTTTGCAGACAAGTGCACTTTCCACGTCATGAAGAAAGTCAAACAGACGCGTGTCGGAACCCATGTTAAACCCCTCGAGTTTTTGAAATATACACTGGAGCCTCAGCTTTGTGTCGTAACTCATCTCTTCGAGTATATCAAAAGAACTGACGAAAATAGGCATGATAAAAATTGCTACTGAGTTATGTTAAACCATATATGGTCCAGTCTCCAAAGACACTATAATTATCTCGATGGATAAATGTTAGAAAATTTAAAGGCCACAGTGTTCGAGCAGCATCTACATCTTTTTTTTATCGTCAAATTATTGTAACATTAAGGATATTATGTTACCCGCAGGATGGTCGAATGAACAGACATTTCGACGGTTTTATAATAAGCCTAGCAAGGAGAAATTTAATTTTGGCGCTTGGGTGTTAGAGTGCTATACAAACGTTAATTGTTCTTAGGATATGAGATACATCGTGCATATGCATGTTCATTTTTAATTTGGTTGTTATGATACAATGGCTGGGGTTATTGAATTTATACTTATCTATTATAAAATGTTATATTTATCTTTCTTGGCTTCGTTTTTATCACACTGGTTTTAGTTAGAGTGGTCTGCTTATCACTGCATAACAAAGCCCTCACGGATTGCTCTGAATTTTCCTACAACGTCACACACGACTTAGGCTGATGACGAAATAGAGTTTAGAATTAAACGAGACTTACCTGTAAGTTGAAGTTTAATTTGGATTCTATGAGTCATCAGAGTGTGAGAGTTGTACGTCCTTTCGATACTCGTCCTTTCCCTTACTTGCAGTCAACTCTCACGCTCATCCGGGAGGTCTTTTTTCCGTATAAAGAAAGCTCTAAGACTGATTGGCGCTTGCGCTCCACTCTCTCTCGTACAACTCACACACTCCAGGCTGATGACTCATAGAATCGAAATCAATCTTCAACTTACAGGTAAGTCTCGTTTAATTTTAAATTCAGTAGTAATATCAATAGCCCTTTCTGTTTTCAGTCTCAGTCTCTAAAGTAAAAACGTAACAATATATAGAGTTCACTGTGCATGTTTAAAAGAAAATTTTTGCTTGCTAGCTTCATATAGTTATTATAATTCTTACGGTACGATAATCATTCGCAATCGTTTTTTTCAGTGTAAAATTCTGGTTTTGTAGACGTTCACTTTTTCATTATTACTGCATATAATGATGCGAATGCAATAGGCGACCATCTTAAATTCGAGTTTCATCCTGATTTTTGCAGCCTTTTTTCACTTTATTTAGATGACTATATACATGGTCATCATTTTTGTCTTTCCCACTCCTTTTTAGAGCTGTATACGTCGACTGTTCATCTTCCACTTGTTCATGATTGTTGACGTCATCTTTGTTTGGATTTTCATATATATCACTTAAATTGTGGTTAGCCTTCTCAGAACTTTTCATGGTGCTTGATGATTTGAGATGACGAATTCGATGAAAGAGAAGAGCGTTCATAATCAGTGAAAAAACGACGATAATAATTAAAACTATAAATCCTGCAAGGTGATTTCCAAAACTTCCGCTATCTGAAATAAGAAGTGATAGAGAGGAAAAATTGAACAATAAATATGTAGCAAACAAGATTCTGACAAATTTCTTGATTGATCAGTCAGCAGGGCC